CATTTTATTCCATGGTAAATGAAATTTAAGCTTAATTGATTTGGTTATTACCACGGTAACCATTTGAACACCCCTAACCCCCTAACCGTTAGTTTCATATCTTAAATCTGTTCTTCCAAAATTCCACCACCATAGGATTACAATTATTTTCTTCAACCACCAGTGGTTCCTCCACTGTTAGTTTCATATCTTGAATCTGTTCTTCCAAAGTTTGAAATAATTGTTGAGAATAATACGCAAGACACGAGACAAGATTTACATGGTTCTTCTCATTCGGTGTGAATGAGCTTACTCCACGGAGAAATTGTGCTATCTCAGCTTTCTTTTCATAGTTTGCAGCCGATACACTTACAAAGTTTATATATCAAACCCTATTCACCAATCTGCTAGGGTTTGTACGTGACTAGGCCTAAAGGGAAAAGACATAAAACCCATGGGCCAAACACGGCTACGTACTATGACTGAATAACTAGTCTTTCACTCCCCCACAAGCTGAGGCATGCAAATTGCAAATGCCCAGCTTGGACAACAAAGAATGAAAGCGATCACCAGCAAGACCCTTGGTGAACAAGTCCGCAAGCTGTACTGCAGTATGAACTTTCTGTGGACGAACCTCACCGGAGGTGACATGATCACGGACGAAGTAGCAATCAAGCTCTACATGCTTCGTGCGTTCATGAAACACAGGGTTAGCTGCAATGTGCAGTGCTGCTTGGTTATCACAGTGGAGAACCGTAGGACTAGTGCTGTCAACCCCCATATCCCGAAGTAAAGCCCGGAGCCAGATGACTTCACTGACAGTGCTGGCCATGGCGCGATACTCAGCTTCAGTAGACGATCGGGCAACAACTGTTTGCTTCTTGGTTCGCCAGGAAATTGGCGCACTACCAAGCGTGATAAAATAGCCGGAGGTGGAGCGACGAGTGGTTTGACATCCAACCCAGCCGCGGTGACATGAGCTAACGTGGGGGCATGAACATAACGGCTGAGGATATTAACCGCGTACACAATATCCGGCCGGGTGACGGTAAGATACTGCAAGCGACCAACTAGGCGACGATAGGCAGCAGCATCATCAGGAGGAACCAGGACGGCATCGTCATCATGCCGTGTGAGTTGGTGATGTTGTTCAATGGGAAAAACACTAGGGCGACCCCCAGAGTATCCACTGTCACGAAGAAGATCTAACGTGTACTTTCGCTGACAAAGAGCAATGCCAGCACGAGAGCGAGCAACCTCGATCCCAAGGAAGTACTTAAGAGGTCCCAGGTTTTTGATCCCGAACTGGCTGTGAAGAGCATCCTTGACCTGCTGAATGAAGACTAAATCATCACCCGCCAGGATGACATCATCCACATAGATAAGAGCAACAACATATGTGCCACGATGACGACGAACAAAGAGAGAATAATCAGCACGAGATCGTGTGAACCCAAGACTAGTAAGCGTCTCAGCAAACGCGGCAAAACCCTGTGGAATTTGCATATATACTTCCTCATGCAAATCCCCATGCAGAAATGCGTTATCAACATCAAGTTGATGAACAACCCAGCCACGAACAGCAACAATAGCCAGTAAACAGCGAACACTAACCAACTTTGCCACTGGGGCAAACGTATCATGATAATCAATACCTTCCGTCTGAGTAAACCCCTTTGCAACAAGACGAGCTTTGTACCTCTCAACTGAACCGTCGGCATTGAACTTGATCTTATACACCCACTTTGAAGCAACCACACGCTTACCAGGGGGCAGACTGACGAGGGTCCATGTACCATTGCCAACCAGAGCATCAATCTCCTTCTGCATGGCAATACGCCATTCTTCATACCGAACAGCCTCGCGAAAACTAGTGGGTTCAACCTGGCTAGATACTGCTGCCAAGAAGCTTTTATGTTGCGGAGAAAATGATTCATAGTTGACATAATTGGACATGGGATACTGCACATTGGACGAGGGGAGTTCTACTTCGTACCCGTCCAAGCGCCTGGAGACTTGGCGCACACGATCGCTGCGACGGGGAGCTACAACAGGCTGGCTGGGTGGCTCGGGATCCCCAAGCGAAGAGGGCGCAGGGGCCGAGACGGATGCAGATGAATTCCGGAGCTCAGCGGCAGGCGAGGGACACGCCGGAGGACTCTTTGCATGGCCATGCAAAGTCGACGAGGTGGGGGTTGGTCCTGTTCCTCTTCATCTACGACAGGAGGCTGCGAAAAGGACACAGGCTTTGGCAAAGGAGGGGACGTGCTGTCAGCAAAGGGGAACACATGTTCCACGAAATGGACATCACGAGAAACATAAAATGTCTGCGAGGTTAAGTCAAAAAGACGATAACCTTTCTGAAATGCCGGGTAGCCCATAAACACCGAGCGTTTTCCACGTTCATCAAACTTGGAGATCCCTTTATGGTTGTCCTTTCCATACGCTAGACATCCCAGGACTCGAAGATGAGCATATGAAGGAGCCTTGCCCAAAAGGACCTCGTACGGAGAGCGATCTTGCAGAATTTTACATGGCAAACGATTAATTAGATAAGTTGCTGTCAAGACGCAATCACCCCAGAATCGCAAGGGTAAACTTGCTCGGAAACGAAGAGCACGCGCCGTTTCCAGTAAATGGCGATGCTTTCTCTCGACTATCCCATTCTGCTGAGGCGTGTCGGTACAAGAGGTCTGCAGAACAATGCCTCTATCCGCATAGAAATCACGAAGAGTACCTGTCTGAAATTCTAACCCGTTGTCAGCTTGAATACGCGTCACCTTCTGACTGAACTGAGTGACCACCATATTGATAAACATTTTCAAATACCCCTCGACGTCTGACTTGTAAGACATAAGATATACCCAAGTAGCTCTGCTAAAATCATCGACAATTGTAAGAAAATAACGAGCTGAATTCTGAGTGGGAACCTTGAAACTGCCCCAAATATCCACATGAATAACCTCAAAACAACGACTTGTCTTTATCGAATGTTTAGGAAACGGTAATCGTGTCTGTTTAGCACGCATACAAGAATCGCAAGTCTCACCACTGCATTTATTCTGACCAGAACGAAATAATAAAGGTGTTTTCTGCTACGACGGATGGCCCAACCGAGCATGCCAAAGCTCCCCCACTCCTGCATCACCACTGGCGGCTAAAGCTTGAGGCTCATCGGTACCATAGAGTCGTAGATAGTAGAGTCCATAACGAAGCTGGCCCGTCCCAATCGTCTTCCTGGAATGTAAGTCCTGGATGACGCAAAAATCGCGCAGAAAAGTTAAAGCGACATCGAAATCCTGAGTGAGCCTGCTGACTGACAGAAGATTACACTTAAACAATGGGAGGCTGAGCACCCGACTAAGCTTCATTCCATGTGATAAACTGACTTCACCAACTCGGTTAACAGTGAGCTTATCCCCATTCGGAATACTGACCGGTAAGTAACCTGAGACTTCAACTGAATTTTCTAACAAGGATCCATCGTTCGTAATGTACTCGTTGCATCCCGAATCTATGATCCATTCAGACTGTGAAAGAGACGTACCTGCCATGTTTACTTGTGGGTCGAATGACGTCGAAAGACTGGACTGCCCGCTGCTGTGATGAAGGAAATCCAAGAGCTGCTGCACCTGCTCGGGATTTAATCCTGGGATACTCACGCCTGCTCCAGCGGAGGACTGTGCAGCTCTCGGGTTGCTGGGTCGGCCAGTGCGTTCCTTGTCGCGCTCACCAGAACGAGTGTCACGTTCCTTTTCCCGCTCTCCTGGTCGAGGTTTCTTCTCCGGCCACCCAATGATCTCATAACATTTGTCTTTGGAGTGCCCAGGACGTTGGCAATGACTGCACCGTTGCCGCTCCTTCCGATCTGTGCTGCGAGACCTCTCTTCCCGTCGGTGAGCATCGGCAGCTGGGCGATCTTGGCGAGCCTGGAACGCTGCAGCATCTATAGTGGGGCGCCGACTTGCAGTGATTTGCTTATGCTGCTCTTCTGTAGACACCAAGCGGTAGGCTTCGCTGAGAGTTGGGGTCGGTTTCATAGACAAGATTTGAGTTTTGACAGTCCCGAACGCATCGCCTAGTCCCATTAGAAAGTCGAAAAGGCGATCGTTTTCCAGGTTACTCATCACTTTCTTATCTATCTCGCAAGTGCACATACCACAGGTGCAGCGCGGGACAGGCGTAATAGTCAACATCTCCTCCCAAATTGCTCGAAGTTTGGTGAAGAATGTCGAGACTGTGAGCTTCTCTTGTCTCAGAGAACTCATCATTTGACGGAGCTCATAAGCCCGAGGCGCCGATCCACGACCAAATCGCGCCTCCAGATCAATCCACATCTCACACGCAGTCTTCGCGTAACGAATCGAGCTGCGAACCTCTTTGTCCATAGCTGTCTTCAACCATCCCTTGACAAGGGCGTCACACTGAAGCCATGCTGCCTGTAACTCACCCGCGGCAGTCGGCTTGACCATCGTTCCATCGACAATGCCGAGCTTGTTCTTTGCGATTAAAGCCTCGGTCATGTCCGTGACCCATTCTCCATAATTGGAGTCATTCAATAGCTCACCAACGAATAGCTGACCTGGATTATCTGAAGCTTGGATCTTCAACGCCGCAGGGATGACCAAAGGTGGAACCGCACCTCCTCCGCTGCTGTTAGGGTTGATGAGAGCGCGACTACTGCCATCAGAGTCCTCGCCACTCATTGTGAATACTTAGGTTTCAATAAACCAGCTCTGATACCATGGAATAGTTGTTGAGAATAATACGCAAGACACAAGACAAGATTTACGTGGTTCTTCTCATTCGGTGTGAATGAGCTTACTCCACGGAGAAATTGTGCTATCTCAACTTTCTTTTCATAGTTTGCAGCCGATACACTTACAAAGTTTATATATCAAACTCTATTCACCAATCTGCTAGGGTTTGTACGTGACTAGGCCTAAAGGGAAAAGACATAAAACCCATGGGCCAAACATGGCTGCGTACTATGACTAAATAACTAGTCTTTCAAAGTTTATGTGGGAACTGTGGCCAATTCCGCTGTGGATCCATTCTCTATGATGCCTTGTTGGGCACTCAAACATATTGCATGCAATCAAAAGATCGATTTTTGCAGGGAAGGGAAATCTGCTTACTGCAGTGATATAATCATTACAGTTTTTTACCCATAGATTCTCAACTCGAATTCAGAACAGGCAAGAGAAGCTACATCACGCTCAATCCTTACTACCATGTTGATTGCTTGCATAGTTGCATTCAAGACAATCAAACCAAGAACCTACAAGAAAATTCTGGCTAGGTCGATTGCAATGGTAGAACCACAGAATTCCCATCCCATCTCCATTTACATAATTTGCTTCCAGCTTTAAACAACCACGCTCCTCCGTCTCCCTAACGCTTTACTCACAAGGTAAGCTTCTCCATCTCCCTCCTCAGCGCATTGGCCCTGACCAGGCTCCCAATGGTATTCACAGCAAGCTTCAAGTCCTCCAATGGATTCCCCGGCACAACCCTCTTGTACAAGTAGCTGTCGAACGTCATCTTCTGCACATACTCGTCGGCGCACATCTCCACGAACGCCTCCCTCGCAGGGTTCGACCTGTAGAAAACCTTCTGCAGCACGTCGAGCACCTTGTACGTCGGCCAGTACGCCTTGTCCCACTTCTCAAGGTACTTCCTCAGATCACTCTCTTCCACCATCCTCTTCCCTTCCCCGGACCCTTCAACGATCGCCTCAGCACACATCCTCCCACTCTTCGCCGCAAAGTATATCCCTTCACCTGAGCATTTCGTCACGTACCCTGCCGCGTCACCCACCAGAGCTACCCTGTCTAGAATCCTGCGTGGTCGAGGGTGCTCGGGGATCGGGTGCGCCTCCACTCGAATGATCTTGCCTCCTAGGATCTTGTCCTTGGCTCTGTTCCTCGTGGCCAGCTGGAACTTCTTGATGTCGCCTTTGTGTGTCACGGTGCCCGTTCCCACGGCGACGTGGTCCGATTTGGGGAATACCCAGCCGTAGAAGTCAGGGGATACATCGTCCCCAACGTACATTTCGGCTAGGTTTTCGTAGTACACCATCTTCTCATCAGGGATCTTGATTCTCTCCTGTTTAGCGGAATCAACAGAAATTCATCAAGTCCCGTTCTCACAAAAACTCACATACATGTTGATTACAGTTACAATTTCGAACAGGGTAGTAGCTACCATAGCTAGGGCTCTAATTAGGCATCCTAACGGCCGCAAAAACACTCTTCATTCGCTATTCATGGCGTAAAAATTACCTGGAAAGCAATGGCGTAGTCATAATCCCCCGCGCCGATCGACTTGGCGACTCTGGAATTAGCCCCATCGGCGCCAATCACAGCATCGACCTCTAGGGTTCTCTTCTGCCCGGTCCCGCCGACGGTCCCATCGTACTCCGTATAGTGCAGCACGTACGGCGATTCGACATTCCGGCTGCCTTTCTCCGGCAAATCCATCTTCAGAAACAGCCCATTGATGACATTGGCCCCAAATTTTTCAGCCCGCTCTCTCATGTAAGCGTCGAGCACTTCTCTCCTCACCATCCCAATGTACTCGTGGGGCTTCAGCGTCCGGCCGATGTCGACGGCGACATTCGAGGGGGAAATCATCTTCATCTTCGTCACCCGCCGGTCGATGATGTCGAGCGGGATGTCGAACTCGCCGACCATGCACAGTGGGATGGCGCCGCCGCAGGGCTTGCAGTTGTCCATCTTGCGTTCGATGAGGTAGGTCTCGATTCCGCCTTTGGCGAGGGTTTCGGCGGCGGATCCGCCTGCCGGGCCGCCGCCGATGACGGCGACGCGGAGCTTGCGGTTGGGGAGGGTGGGGCTGGAGAGGGCGGCGGCGATTTGGAGGGAGGAGGAGCGGCGGGAGCGGTGGGAGGTGGTGGTGAGGGAGTTGGGGAGGGAGAGCTGGGTGGAGGAGGGCGGTGGTGGGCCGACGACGGCGGGGGACTGGCGGAGGCCGGTGAAGGACTTGAATGCGACGGAGGAAGACATGATGTGTGAGTTTGAGGCGTAGATTTGGCCGGGGAATTGTGGAGCGGAATTTGAAGTCGAGGTTGTGGTTTATGGAAGATGAAGAAGAGGAGGAGGAGGAGAGTGGAGAGTGTGAGGAAGAGTTGCTACTTGCTAGCTAGAGGGACGTATATTTGTCAGAATACGAATGGATATGGTTTGGGATAGTTGAGGGAAAGTGGCCGTTGGATGAGCGGGATGGACGGTGGAGATGGTGGGTTCGGATTTTTACGGTGGATGGGTTGGATTCTTCTTTCTCCTTTTGCAAACAGGACGTCCTTGCTTTCTTGGCTCAGCTGCTGCCTACTTGTCATCGTCTCTTTATCAGTCTTTGAAAACCCAATGGCTCTTGTTTTGCCGCGTCATGCAGAATTGTTTTTATTTTTTTTTATGATTTGAAAGGAATTGAGAAGATTAGGAGTGTGGTGAGCCGGGCTACGCTGCCGGTTTGGATCATGGGCTTTAGACTGTCTGTTTGCAAGCAAGCCCATCTATATTTATTTCCATGGACTTCTTTTCTACTAAAAAACAACGATGACATTAAGTCCATCGATGCAAAACCGAAAACCGTCCTTGCACCTCCACTAGGTCCAATGACTGAATGGCAGACCCAGAATTGTTGAAGAGGGGTGTCGTTGAATGAAGGAGTATCGGCTATATAATTATTAAAGAGGTGTCGGAAATCTTGAATTAAAATTTTTAATACAAAAAAAATATAGGTTTTTCACAAAAGTTTCGGGCGAAGGGGTGTCGAACGACACCCCTTAGATACAAGTAGGTCCGCCCCTGACTAGGCCTGTAAGTCCAATTCAGTTTTCCCTAGTTAACCAAAACTAAACCGGGAAACTGGTCTCATTAATTGGTTTCTGATTTCAGGTTGAAACCGAATATGTCATACCAGTCGATTTTGAATAAAACAGAAGGGAAAAAAATTCATAACCGAAAATTAAAAAAAAACACCAGTTTGTGTATGGAAAGTGACGTAGAGTAAGGAATTGAAATAGTTTTGTTGCCGTTAATATTTTCTGTTAGAATAGTTGTACATCCCCTAACGGTTTAAGGTTCGGTTTTGAAAAACATAACTATTTTGGGTAGGGGTGGGCATTGGTGCGGTTCGGACCGCACCGCACCGTATTGATATAAACCACATCGCACTGCATTCAATTGGACCGCATCGCATGTTCGACCGCAATGGTATTGGTGCGGTCCAACCAAATCGCATATGTTAGTGGTTTGGAGCGGTTTGGACCGCATCGCATGTTTGACCGCAATTCATTATGAATTAAATATTTGATTAAATAAAATTACTTCTGCCATCGTCAATCGAGAGCATCAACACTCTGTTTCTTTTGCCGCCGAAACAGAGCACCCCTTTTGCTGATGACTACTGGCGGAAGGAATGAAACTGTAACTTGGCAAATGTTCATGAATTACGTTGAATGAAACATAAATCCACCAAAGCAGAATCCAAAAATTTAAAACAAAAGAGTGTCTCTCGCTTCTGGGAGTTTCTTCCTCTCGTTTATGTGAGTTTCTTTTCAACTGTTCACTTCTTCCCACCCTGTGGAAGTTTTGAAATTCCATAGCTCTGGCGGTGAATTTCGGACCTTCACCTTGCTGTCTTGGATTGGTGTGCTGTTTTTCCCCATCATTGGAAGTTGTCAGGGTTGTGATCATCTTCTCTCTTTGTGTGGAGTGTATGGAGTTCAGTGTACAGTATCGGCATTGGGAAGTCAGTGCTTTGTTGGTGCCTGTTAGATCTCTGCTGATTGAACCTATTGGGTGTCGTTCTGAAGGTTGGCTACTAAGAGCTGACTGGGATCGCTGCTGATGGGGGGAGATGGTGGAAGTCGACCTTCCAATTCCGAGAGAGAATTTAGTTAGCGGTTTTGAACCGCAACCGCGCGGTTTCGGATTAATCAGACCGCGAACCGCGAGCCGTTAAAAATTCAGACCGCTTATTAAACCGCAAGATTAACGGTGCGGTTTGTCTCGACCGTAACAGCGGTTCGGAGCGGTTTGACCGCACCAATGCCCACCCTTAATTTTGGGTTTCGATTATCACTGGTTTTCGGTTTGATTAACCAAACTTACTCAATATCATAGCACAAAGTTCGATCTCTCTTTCAAATGACAGAATAGAATATCCTTTCTAACGGCGTATCCATCTCTAATATGAGTATGGAAGTAGACGAGCCTGTCGACTTGCTTTGTCATCTTTCTTGTTCATCTTTTACAATTCAAGTAAATAATAACATTAATGGTAGACTTGTGAGGTTACCATGTAATGGTAAATGACTAAATAGGCACACAGAGAGGCATGTTGTGCCGGGGAAACAAGAGCCGGATAATATATGCTTTCGGTAGCTGTTGGAAAATCGGAAATACGGTGAAAACTGTTGTGTATTATTACTGACACCACAAAGAGTTTATATAGAGATTACAATAAGTGACTCTCATAATAACCCTAATACTAATAAGGAATACACATTCCTTCTAGGACTCTAACATGGAAACCCAACTAATACAGAATATGACTCTTAACAAATAACATAATAGTACTCGTACTCTAATACCCTCCCCAAATTGATGGTAATTAATTATCAACAATTTGAAAATGGAAACAAAAATGACACAAATTACTACGAACAATGTGACCGAAAAAAACACTGAAAAACATAACTGTTCCGCCAAATATGTCGACGAATACCATGTCCAATGCCTCGTGAAACGTCGATGGTGATAAGCTGGAGGTAACAAAAGTTCTTGTCAAAGTCGTCTCGTCCGTCAAATAGTGTCTAACAAAATAACTGATCGCTCGTCATAAGTAAGTACAGAAAGAAGCGGTAAAACCAAGTGACGATAAAGAAGGAAGATACTCCACAAGTAAGAGCAGTGGGCTGGAAATTTTGTTGCCACGTAAGCTGAACTACATACTCTGAACAACAACATGGAAATCAGGATGCTCCGAACAGAGTATCAGGAACGGAGAGAGGGCGCAATTCCTTTGCTACTTGTTGCTAAGGGCTAAGGCCACAATAATTCTCTTTGCATATATTTTTTTTTTTATTTGTAAGAAATATAGATTACGAAAGCAAGGAAAGTGGCAGCAGTGCCATTACATGATAGAAGAGAGTGCTAAGGACGGGGAAAAGAGTGGCCAATACTATCTAACTCCAAAAGTGGAATAACTTGTGGAGGCGGATTTGGCCATAAGTGTTCCCCATCTCTGCAACTATGACCCAATGCAGCCATAAGATCAGCGACTGCATTTGCTTCTCTTAGGATGTGTGAGAACTTTGTAGTCCATGGTTGACGGAGAAGAGCACGGCAGTCAGCGATTAAAGCTTCAAGAGGGTGAAACAGATCTTTTTCGGATCGGATAAGGTGCACTGCTAATTGCGAGTCTGATTCAACCTCAACATTTCGAAATCCGAGTGACCATAATAAAGAGAGGCCATCCCGTATGGCTCGAACTTCGGCTTCCAAGATTGAGATGCAGCCGACGTGGGTTGAAAAACCCAGCAGCCACTTTCTGCATCATCTCTAGCAACACCACCTATAGCAGCTGATGGGGGGTCTATTGTTCTACTACCATCCACGTTGAGCTTTACCCATCCTTGTGGAGGACGATGCCAACTAATCCAACGTATTGCTTGTGGGGGAGAGGGTTGATTGGTGACGCATTGGGTGATCTCCCCTGCTAGTCTTGTGGATACTTGCCAAAACCTTTCACGCGACCATGATGCTTTTCCATGTACAAAGTCATTTCGTTCTTTCCATATGTTCCATATTATAGACATACTCCAACTTTGCAAGGGGAATCCTTGGATGAGTTCATCACCTGCACAAATCAGAATGTGATAGAGCCATTCTCGTATTTCCATTGAGAAGAAGGAACTATGTGATGGAGTGATTAAGGTGTGCCAGCGGGATCTTGCGTGAAAACAGTCTCGAATAACATGAATAGCAGTTTCAGGTTGTCGCATCGCGGACATGAACGGTTTACTGGTACATGTCGGTGATGGAGGAACACCATTGACTGAATGCTTTCGTGGAGAAGCAGCCACACAAAAGAAGATAATCGCCGAGGACCTGGAAGCTTCCAAACCCACTTCCAGTTCGAACATGGGGGAGGCAAATTGATAATTCGTGAGGGAAAGAGATACCAATATGCTGTTTTGGAAGAGAATTTACCGTTGCTAGAATGCTTCCATATAATTTGCTCTGGAAAGTCAGCAGAGAGGAACAAAGGTACTTCTGCAATTTCAGAACATATGTTGTTTGGTAGGAGGCGACGGAGAGCCGGCCAGTTCCAAGTTCCTGGGGAGAGTATAAAGTCTGAAACTTGATGATCAGTTGTAGGTGGTGGAGGAGCGTTAGCAATGCATAGAGAGATAGGTCCCAAACGGAGCCAATCATCGTCAAATATGTTCACATTCTTGCCGTTACCGATCCGCCAACTAAATCCATGTTGAAGGGCGAGGAATGCTTTAGAGATCCCTTTCCATGTGGCTGAAGCAGTAGCTGGAGGAGCTTGAGTTGATAAAGAGCCATATTTGGAAAGGAGAATTCTTACCCAAAATTTTGATGGGTTCGTTATAAGAGTCCATACAAGTTTTCCGAGAAGAGCAATGTTGTTGAGGCGGGTCTGTCGAATGGCAAGCCCTCCTGAAGATCGTGGAAGAGTAATGTCTGACCATTTGACAAGCGGGAAAGAGCGCTTATCATCCTTGGCATCCCATAAGAAATCGCGGTTGAGTCGGTCCACTTTAGAGCATATGGATGCAGGAAGCCAAGCTGATTGCATCGTGTGAATTGGCATGGTAGTCGTTGTAGAGTTGATTAGTGTATCCCTGCCTGCAACACTTAGCAGTTTGGATTTCCATCCTGCTAATCGTAATTGAATTTGTTCCACCAAAGGAAAGTGGGTAGCATGAGAAACTCGACCGTGTATCATTGGGACACCAAGATATTTCCCCAAATCTGAAGTAACTTGGATGCCGGAAATAGTCGCCAACTCATGCTTAAGTTGTGGGGAAGCTTTTTTGGATACAAACAGTGCAGATTTGTGTAGGTTGACTTGTTGGCCGGAAGAGCTGCAGAAGGCAGCAAGAGTGCTCTTCAATACCGTTGCCTGTTGGGGATTAGCTTGGGCAAATAGAAACAGATCATCTGCAAAAATTAGATGAGAGATAGGAAGACCTGTTCTGCAAATTTTAATTGGTTTCCATCGACCCTTTGACACTTCATCTTGTATCAACAAAGAAAGACGTTCCATACACAGGGTAAATAGGTATGGAGATAAAGGATCACCTTGACGGAGGCCTCGAGATGTGGAAAAGAATTCTGTAGGCTCTCCATTGACAAGTATAGCCGTTTGAGAGTGGGTGAGATAGAACATGATTAACTGAATCCATTCTGCCGGAAATGCGAAGAACTGTAAGGTATCCTTAAGAAATTCCCAACTGAGACGGTCATATGCTTTCTCCAAATCAATTTTTGCCGCCATAGCCATATTCCGTCCTGTTCTTCGTTTGATACTGTGAACGACTTCCTGAGCAATAATAATGTTATCATGAGTAGTGCGTCCCGGAATAAAGTTGCTTTGAGAAGGGCCAATGAGGGCGTCCAACAGTGGTCGGAGTCGGTGGACAAGGACTTTGGAAAGCGTCTTGATAAGAACATTACACAGGGAGATCGGGCGGTACTCATTAAGACCTTGTGGAAATTGAGTCTTCGGAATGAGTACAATAAATATTTTGGCTGCCACTGGATCAAAAGAGGCATTTGTGAAAGCATTTTGAATAAAAGGTACGACTGAGTCTTGCAAGTTACTCCAAAAACGCTTGTAAAACGAGGGCGGAAACCATCTGGACCCGGTGCTGAAGAAGACTTCATGGAGGAAATTGCCTGCCAAACTTCAGAGGGTAAGATTGGAGATGATAAAGCATTTTGATTTACCGTTGATAGCTGTAGGCGTGATGTGGTGGGAAGAGGCACAAATTCAGTGGAGGGTGCTGCAAGTAGAGTCTGATAGTGTGTGATAATTGCAGCTTTTATCGAGGAAGGTTCATCAAACCACCCACCAAGTGGATTCCGTATTCTTTCTATTTTGTTACGCCTTCTGCGAATTTTTGTGGAGGCATGGAAAAACTGGGTGCATCGGTCTCCTGCTTTGAGCCATTGCACACGAGATTTTGACTTCCAAAATTCCTCCTCCTGCTGCAATAGGGTTGTGTATTCTGAGCAAAGGGTAGACTGAAGGCGCCACGCCATCTCTGTTGGCCTTCTTGCCAGTTCAGCTTCAATGCCCTTCAAACGACCAAGAATTTGGCGTTTCCTGCGAAAAATATTACCAAATATTGCTCGATTCCAAAGGAGGGATCTTTGCTGAACATCTACAAGGATGGGCAGAATTGTCGGTCCTGTCGATGCTACTGCAGCTTCCACCACTGATGGGAAATCCTCGTGAAGGAGCCACATTGATTCGAACCTGAAGGGCCTGAATTGAATAGATGGGAGACGACTCCTAGTTGTGAGGATAATGGGGCAGTGATCGGATTTTAATTCGAGGAAGGTGAGTTACAGATGCTTCTGGGAATAACAATCTCCATTCAACACTTGAGATGGCTCTGTCCAGTCTTTTTTGCAGGAACCCATACCTTGAATCACGACGTAGCCATGTGAATTTTGCTCCAGAGAAACCCAAGTCAACAAACCCACAAGCATTAATGTTACTGGCCAAAGAGAAGGAGCGTAGGGAGGAGCTTAGAATTCCTCCTTGCCGTTCCTCCAAGGAGACGATTTCGTTGAAGTCGCCTAAAAGTAACCACGGCAAATCTATGTCAGATGCAACGGAAGTCAGGTGAGACCATAGGAGTGCTCGTTGTCCTGGAGAGGGACTGGCATACACTGCTGAAAGCATCCAACTTTGCCGCTGAGGTTGTTCGACAAGAAGATGGATCACTTGAGGATGAACCACTAAAGGAGAAATAGAGATGGTGGAGTCTGACCAAAGAACCCAAATACCTCCTGACCGACCATTGGCTTCTGAGATGCTGGATTGAGAAAAAGGAAGAGAACGGATGACATCGGTCGCCTTGTCTCCGCTTATTTGTGTTTCCAAAAGAATCAAAATGTCAACTTTTTGCAGAACGCAGAGGTCCTGAACGAGAGTGATGGTCCTGCTGTCCCCCATTCCTCGTATATTCCAAGAGCAAATAGTTAGATCCATATAAAATTAAGGAGGGTGAAAGCAACGGGCCCAAATCCGCTCGTGGCCCACTAATTGGAGCTATTTTGGAAGCCTCGTATTGGGCTTCGGCTACGATGTCGTTGTTGGCCTGTAGTCTGCTGAGTAGAGGAGTCTCCCTGCGTGGCAATTGCCGTGCTGGATGACAATAATTGAGGCTGCAGAGAGGGGTTATCAATGCTCATGTCTGTATGGTTTTTTGGGGATGTTTGCTTTTTCAATGGGTGGGTGCGATTGTGTTGAGGGAATTAAATGGGGGATTGGGCTTGGGGAATTAAATGGGGTAGGTTGGGTGAGATCTCTGGCAAGAGAGGAGTGCCCATCTATTTCCTTTTCTCTTTCTTTATCGAGATTGATTGGGTATGGAGGGGATGGGGCAGCATTGATGAGTACTTCGGGAGGAGCCAATGACGTCATTGGTGAGTGCTTGGCCGGAGCGCTTGACATCGGCGGCTGAGTGACCAAAGAGACGGGTGGATGGCCAGAGACTGGAGGAATGGAGTTGGTTTCTAGGGACAGGTTTTCCGTGGGCCGATTCCCTGATTGTTGCGGTAGTTTCCTCGGTAGAGAGGGGGGATGTGGATCCCGGACAGACTGGAGGGGACGAAATCTATTAATATTTGGGTTTGGTTTGGAGTTATTCGTTGATGCTGCCATTGGTTTCACCGACCTCCATTGTCTTGGTTTTCTCCTGGGTACCGCCATCCACTCCCCAAATGTGGGGGAAGAGTGAATGCTGCCTGTATCAAGGATCTCTGATTGTGCTGCAGGGACAGTTTGTTGAGGAGATTCTTGTGGCGGAGATTGAGTAATGATGGTGGTGGAAGCATTGGATGGACGAGGAGAAAATTTGCAAACCTCTTTTAGATGACCAGCTCTACCACACTCCCCACATACAGCATGGATTCCTTCATATTCCACTAGTCTCCATGCATTAGCCACCCATACCTTAGGCACAAGAGGCTCATCCAACTTGATCTCTACACAAACGCGAGCATAGCATCCTCGAGTAACGAGGGCAGTTTGTCGATCTATGCGAACAGGCCTTCCCATACAAGATGCAAGTGTGAATAGGATCTCATCGCGGTAGTACTCTGTTGGGAGGTGGGTGAAGCGAACCCAAGTGAGCAGGGTGGAGATGCGGGAGCTGAACGGGTTAAAACCGGGAGTCCATAGTTGAATTGCTAGAAAGTTCCCTGCAATTATGTATGGCCCTCCCGAAATAACACGAGTTAGGTCCTCCGGGTCTTCAAATTTCACCACTGAAAAGCCGTTGCCCAACTCTAAGACCTCCATTTCAGCAGCAGGAGTCCACAAGGTATGTAGCCGGTTGACCAAGAGATGATGACCGACCGTGTTACCGTATGGCTTGATAATGATGGCATTTTTCCATGCTTGACATTCCTCTTGAAGTAGGTCATCAGATAAACGCAGCATAGGCATAAGCTTATTGCCATTAGCGTAATCAATATGAACTTTGGCCAATACCTCTTTCTCCAACAAAAATTCCGATGTGGCAGCGTGAGCAGGTGAGGCCGAGCGGCGGCCTAAAAGGCGGTCTTTGAAGGAGACCCCTGGATCCAGTGGTTTTGTCGGTTGCTCCGAGACAGCAACTTCTTCGCCGGTGGACATCAAGTTGAGAGGTTTTCAAGTCTCCAAAAATGCAGAGAGATGCACAAGCAAATCTGCAAATGAGTTATACCCCTCTTTGCATATATGCTCCAACTCAAAAGTTCTTGTTTTTCTTGTTTGGTTTGCCATTTTCATTGAGATCAAAACTGGATTTAAGGCCCACTGGCAAACCAGTTTACACAGTAAGCTGCTCACAAGTGAAACCAAAGGCAATTTTAATTGTATTAAGGCCCACTGGCCCAGTATTCTTTTTATGAAAACTGGCCCAGTATATTAATTAAATATTAATTCCTTATAATCAACTGCAGCGAAGCTGCGTCTCAACTCTCTCAATCGAACCCAGAAAGTAGAGAAGAGGAACAAAGGGAAGAGCGCAGAAGTAAAAAAGGAGAAAATAGGGTTTATTTGGATAAGAAATTGTAACATATCAATTTGACATAATTGTTTCGTTGTGAGATAATTGTACTAAATCGACTCGTTTGCCAGTAAAATATTTGGATGAATCAATTTGTTTGAGGTATTTTGAATTGATCTGTTTTGAGTCAATTTCAATTGATTGAAATAAAGACAGGTAATTCGAATTGACTCATTTTAATTGTCTCGTTTATAAAACGAAATAATTGGTCAAATTATCACATTTGTAGAGTGATTCATCCAAACGACTCCTATAGTGATTTGTAAGCAGTTGATCAAACTATGACCACTCCAATTCCCATTAAAACCCCCCGTCATTTAAACTAAAGATTAAACCGTGCTGGCTCTGCCAGATCCGCTCACTCGTTGCGGCCAATAAAAAAAGAACCCATTAATTAAACTAAACATTCTCATACACTCTGTTTGGGAAGAGGGGTAAATGGGAGGAGGGTGCAAATGTGAGGGGTAAATACAGTTTCCAACACATTTGCACCTGTTTGGTTAATTTGGAACAGTAGGGGGGTGCAAAACGGGAGTGCAAATTTACTGTTTCGGCTTACCCCCCAAATTGGGGTGCAAGGGAAGGAAGGAAGAGAGGGGGAGGGGGAATTATGGAATTTTGTTTTTCTAATTGTGTTATATATAATTATATAATAATTAATATTATCAATTTCTTCTTTTTATAAATATCATTAATGTAAACATTATTCGGGGTTGACCATTTGACTCGGGAAACAAGTTTATCAATGTTCGTCAAGTCAAATCTAGATCTCTTGGTTGAATCGAATTTGCATTGAAAATTAGAGATACGAGGTGTTTGTGAAAAAGATAGAGAGAAATTGTTTGGTTAACTCAGTTTATTTGAATGGGTAAATGACACATTTGGTCACTGAGATTACTAAATCGTGTCATATTTAGTCACTAGAAAAATTTAATATCAATTTTGGTCACTCGAATTACTAACACAGGTCACATTTGGTCACTCTTCTGTAGCCTCTATCCAACTCCGGTCACTCGAATTATTGAAAAATGTCACATTTAGTCACTCGGATTACTGAAACATGTCACATTTAGTCACTCTCCCAAAAGTTTCCGTCCAACTACATTAATGGAGTTGGACGGAAACTGACGGGAGAGTGACTAAATTTGACCAGTTTTGGTAATTCGAGTGACCAAAATTGATATTAATTTTTTCTAGTGACTAAACATGACACAATTTAATAATCTCAGTGACCAAATGTGTCATTTACCCTTATTTGAATAAATAGTTAAAACTTACAAATTCGAACGTGTTTGACTAAGTTTGACAATTTAAAATTAAACTAGACACGAAAACCCTATATAGGATGACCAGTTACAAGTTGAGCTTCGAGTTTTGAGATCGCTCGATCAATGATTATACAATTGTCATAATTAATTATTATTTGAGCATTATTATATAATAACTATTTTTAGTAAAGTATATTTATTATTATATAATAATATTTATTTTATTATTTTGTGATAATATTTTAAAATTTTAAAATCTATTTTGTAATCTAAAATTTATTTTTAAAATTTATTTTAAAATAATATAATTACTTACTTTTCACTCTATTTGCACCCCCCTACTTTTTCATCCAAACAACAATTTACCCCTCCACTTACACCCCCCATCAATTTGCACCCCCCAACAATTTACCCCTCAACTTGCACCCTCCTGCAATTTGCACCCCCCTTGTTGCCAAACAGAGCGATAATCTAATTGGCCTTTTGCTTACTTTCAAAACCACAATCTCCACTGCTCTACAAATTAGCCAATCCCCTCCACCCACGTGTCCCTAAGTAACGTGTTCACATCCAGCAACTGACACACGTCCATTTAGCTGTCGGCGTGAGAAGTATCTACCAACTATAATATACTTGTTGTTTGTGGTGACGACGTGTTGCTGTTCTTTCTTTTGTTAGAAAACTGCTAAAATCCTACCACCATTTTTTCTGTTATTACCAACCAACCACCCTCTGCCTCGTGGAGCAACGCCATTGGCCCTGCTCCCCAATCTCAACACCAGAAAGATATTTTTGGATACTTTCTTCCTGTGGAGCAATGGACAGCCAACACATCAGCGCTTTTGGGCTTTCAAATATGGAAAGAAAACATTCTCAAGGAAGGAACTTTTGGGCGGTCTACACCATGACAATATTATTGGTCTACACGTGGCTTGGATGGATCGGGTTTTCGATTTGTGCGTATAATAATATGGAACTCCGCAAGATATTTTCAGTCCAAGTCACCAACCGTTTTATGGAGATATTTCACATCAAGATCTCAATCCTAAGTAATTACCGTATCACTAAGCACATAAATTAACACTCAACGAAGACGTCCAGGCTATGTCGGGTGCAGCTGGATCAATTTGGTTATGATGCCTACAGAATGAATCGAAGACTTGATTGGCAGTTGGTAACTTGGTATTGCTCTTCTCTGGATCGACACTTGAATGAGGGAATTGTGAATTTTACACAACATTTGGGATCAATTTAGATGCCTAGTAGACATTATTAAGTTGTATACAGACAAAATGAGTTTCACACTTTATTACATATTTATACACATATTCACATATTTGTAAATTTTTTTGATTAATATCAATCTTTAATTAGAGTTGTTTGACTTGACAAATTACAAATAAAATTCGAAATACTAAATACTCATCTTACGGGGCATCTAATCGTCAATTTAGTAAATGTAATGATATTCTTGGAGGATACTTGATCCAACTATATGATCTCAAATCCAATATTTAGGTCAGAAACGGAGTTAAAATTTTCAAAAAAATGAAGACCTCGAATAATTTTTATCATTCTATTCGTCCAGTTTCTATTCGTTATGTTTGCCACTAGAATTAATTTATTTCATCCGTAGTCACTTAAATTAGGTTAACAGTTCAAGTTTTGTCACTGGCCGTTAGTCTCCGTTAACTTTTGTTGATGTGGCGGTCAACTCTTATAGTTGACCGTTAAATGAGTGAAGTGTCAATTAAAAAAATAATAAAATAATTATTTTGTATTTTCCGTTAGGCTATCTAACCTGATGTGGAAGGAACACCAACGGGCATCGCTTGGATTCGAACCTAGGATCTGCAACTCCCAAGCCTTCATTATCGCGACAGCTTTACCGTTAGGCTATCTTACCTTTGGTAACGGATGACATGGTTGGAAGGGTCAAAGGCTCGCTTTTTCTTCTTTATTTATTTCTTTTTTTTGTTAGTTTTGGATTAGGAAAAGTATTTATTAATTTTTTTGGAGTATAAAAAAGTATTTATTAGTTAAGTTATTCTTTTTTTTTTTTGAAGAAAAGTTAAGTTATTCTTACTAATTACTATTGTGAAAAGGTTTGATGTGGTATGGTTGAAGCTAGCTAGTCATGGCCATCTGTCACTATTTGTTTCGTAATCAAAACAATTGGATCATTATTTGTTAATTCACATGAGATGAAGATGAAATTAACTATAAGCCATAATTGATGAAGTTCATCTCAACTAGCAATAAGATTTAAAGATTGTGGCCCTTCGCCCGGTAAGGATGCTGCCAAATCACTTTCCCAAAGAGGAAAGTAGTGGGGCAAAAATAAAAATTATTAGTGACGCTTTAGGAGCGGGAGGAACCAAAATATCTAAATAATATTTTGGCAGTTTGTGTTCATCAGTACACTCAACACAACGCTGCCGTTAGGCAAGAAAAAGTCCAATAAGAAAAGTCAAAAACACCCCCAGGAAAAGCAAAAAAAAAGCTCGTTTATAAAAACCATGAGCATCGAGATGCCCGTACTCTCTCCACTGATTCCTTTCCCAGTCTTTCTCTCTTTCATTTCCCTTTCTCACTCCTTTTCTCGCCCCTTCCGCAGCTAGCTAAATCTAGTTGGCAGTTCGTTCTTTCTAGTATTGTTGTATTTTACTATGAATCCAAGGGGCGGCCGCGGTGGAGGCTGCAGCGCCGGCAGCAGCAGCAGCTCGGCGTCAATCGCCGCCGCGGGAGGCGGCGGAGGAGGGCTTCCTCGGCCAATGGAGGGGCTCCACGACGCCGGTCCGCCGCCGTTCCTGACCAAGACTTACGAGATAGTGGAGGATTCCAGCACGAACCACATAGTCTCATGGAGCAGAGGTAACAACAGCTTTGTGGTTTGGGATCCGCAGGCTTTCTCCCTCACCCTCCTCCCCAAGTTCTTCAAGCACAACAATTTCTCCAGCTTCGTCCGCCAGCTCAACACCTATGTAAGTAATTAAGCAAACCCTCCCTTCATCCCCCCCCTCGAAATCAATTCGTTTCTGAGGTTTTGCCCCAAAAAGAATGATCCCCCATGATCTTCCATGGATTGATTGATGGTGTTGTTTAATTGTGATTTCATGTGGACTTTTTGGGTTTCCAATAACTCGGATTCGGAAGGAAAATTCTCAAATTACAAGGGTTATTAATGAAAATTCATACAACACCATAACTAATAAAAAAAAAAAATTCTAAAATACTAGAGTTTGACACGGTTCGCTCTAGTGTCGTACGAACTATGCGTTAATTAGGTGGAAAGAGTGATCTATTTTTCAGGACTGATTCACTCCTTTTATATAACGCGCGATCTGTGTTGGTTTGATGATGTTGGTTGGTAATTAGATGTGAGACGATCTAGGTTGGTTTCATCTAGATCGTTTCTGTCTCGAGCAAACTATTACTCAGTTCAGTAGAGTGAACCATTCTTGTATTTTGACGAACTGTTTTTTTTTTTAAGGCTTTTATTATAGAAATTTATCTGAAAAATCTCTTTGTATTTTGAGTATTTTTTCCAATTCAAAACTTCTATACATTGTTCATAGGGAATGGAGTCAAATGCACATAATAATTTTGCGTGTTGGTTGCTTAATGTTTCTCTCGTCTTTTGGTAGGGGTGGACTACCACTACCACTGGAGCATGATTTTGATTTGTGAAATCACAGTTGATTACTATTACTCTTTAAGGGGAAAAAGTACAGAAATCGAATTTGGGGGTTTTTTATCAAAGTTGTTGTGATATACTATATTACTAGGGATTTAGAAAAGTGGATCCAGACCGATGGGAATTCGCCAACGAAGGCTTCCTGAGAGGCCAGAAGCACCTCCTCAAGCACATCCGGAGAAGAAAAGGTCCTCCTCCACCTCAACAGCTGACTGCGCCGGCCACGCAGCAAGACCCTTCTTGCGTCGAGGTCGGGCGGTTCGGGCTGGACGGCGAGCTGGACCGGCTGCGGCGAGACAAGCAGGTGCTGATGGCGGAGCTGGTGAAGCTGAGGCAGCAGCAGACCACCACGAGGGCGTGCCTCCAGCTGATGGAGCAGAGGCTGGGCCGGACCGAGTCGAAGCAGCAGCAGATGATGGCGTTCCTGGCGAAAGCGATGCAGAACCCGGACTTCGTGCAGCAGCTGGTGCGGCAGAAGGACGTGATGAGGGAGCTGGAGGAGGTTATCTGCAAGAAGAGGCCGCGGCGGCGGAGGCGAACCATTGAGCAAGCCGGGCTGGGTGACGTGGAGGATGTTGGAGGTGGGTTTGTGAAGGTTGAGGCTAGGGAGTTTGGTGGGTTGGGGGAGATTTCTGAGCTGGATTCGTTGGCTTTGGATATACAAGGGCTGAGCGGTGGAGGTGGAAGAGGGAGGGAGAGGGTGGAGGGAGATGGTGATGAAGGGATTAATGTTGATGATGGTGATGAGGAAGAAGAGGGGTTTTGGGAGGATTTGTTGAATGGTGAAATTGGGGAAGAGATGGGTTTGATGCTAGGTGGTGGTAATGAAGATGATGATGAGGAGAATGTAGATGTGCTTGTGGAGCAATTGGGTTTCTTGGTTTCTAATTGATATGGATTCAACCAATCACGATTTGTTTTTGTTTTTGTTTTTTCGTGTAGTTTAAGAGAATGAGATTAAGTGTTGGACTTATTTGTAGGTATGTGATTACCTAACCTATGATATGAATGGTATGAATGTTTCGAACTGAATTGAATTGAATTTGATGATGATGATTTCTTGAGAGAAGTGAGTTCATTTGATTGACCTACGTACCTTCACATATGGATGGGCGCTCATCTGCCTGATTCCTTGTGTAACTTGAACCCCTGGGGGCTCCTGGAGGTTGTTCGCATTGAATGCAAGAGCAAATGTAAGCGATAAAGTGAACAACGTTTGATTTTAACCCAAATTTATCATGAGTTATACAGGAATGCTCTATTTATAGGCACTCAAAGACAGCAAATAGAGAGCTCTAGATCCATCTTTCCTACCTACATATTGCTCGGAGTTTGCACTAGCTAGATGCCTAGATTTGTGCCTTTCATTTTCATTAACTGCTTGTCCATTGCCCATGTAACGCATGGCCGGAATTGCTCGATAAATATGTGGCCAGTAATTATTTTTCGGCTCCTGCGAGCTTTCATGCAACTTGCAACTTGCGGCCACAATCTAGCTAGTGGCTTGGTCGGTTATATATAGTTTATCTCAACCGGCCTGGTTTCTGCTCATATCGATCTGTACGTTTGAGCCAACTTGCAGCTAGCTAGCTAGCTTTGCTGCCCTCTTGCTACAAAATTTCATAAAATAAATAGCATATGCTACAAAGGGTCGCACCTTGAAAGGGCATGCAGCAGACAGCGGCAAGCAGTAGCCGCCCACCTTAAATATGCCCATTTTTATTAGCTAGTTGATCATATGACATGCATCAAGTAAACTTTCTGAAAGTTGTAACGACGCTTTTGAGTTCAATTCACACAATCTAACATTATTTCGGAAAAAAGTTTTAAATAGTTACGACGAAACTGTAAGTTTGAGTCGTGTGCTTCGATAAGTTTTTTAAACGATTATAGACCCTCGTAACATCTAATTTATGAATCGGGCTACCTATTTTTAAAAAAAAAAGAAGTGGACATTTCCTTTATGTCTCCTTCTACTTGGTTCTAGACATCAAGCAAGCTAATGTCTGACTTTTCTCTTCTGTTTCCAAATGATGATGTGAAACCCTAATCATGGTTCTGGAGCAGAATAATTGACTGAAGTAGTGAATTAGACTTCAAGACCACACCATGGATTTTATGTTGGCTGGCTCTAATTGGCACTAGCAGTATTCGATGGGTGATGGACTTTACTTTTTTCCAGATCCGTCGTAGTGCGGCTGTCCCCTTCGTCGAAAAGTTCAGTACTCGATTGTTTTAGCTAGGGCGAGATTAACAGGAAGGAATTACTATTTAGCTAAATTAATTATTAATTAATATATATAACACTGTCTGTCAGTGTGATGCGGAATTAAGTCTAGCATATTCCATGCATTATTATTAAACGTTGGTTCACATGATGACTGTGCTGTTTCTGCTCTTCCCATTGGCTCTCTCAGATACTTAATTCAAATATTATAAAATATTGTTTTCTCTTCCTTTGTTCCATCCTTGTAATTATTTCGACTCCTCTCTTCTCTTCTCTTCTTGGTTTCTTTTTCTGGAATTCTCTATTGGGGTTGGACCGGTATGGCACCAGGCTAGCTCTCTGTTAATGGAATGGTGTGATAAAAAGGTGCAAAGTGATAGTCTAGATATGGAAGTTCCCTCGACTGTGGGGAGAATCTTATATCTATCAGTAGTACTGTTATTAAGTTGGTTGAGTTGGATCATAAATTGGCATGAGTTGGATCTGCTCCCATTTCTGGCCCTATTTGTGTTGAAAAGCTCCCAACATCTAAGTATGGCAACCCAAACCTAACTTTCATGAGCTTTTGCAGTACTCCATCATCGTGTTAGAGGGAGTGCTGCCTGAAGATAAAAAAAAAAAAAAAAGTGTATCAAGTTATTGATTTGTTGTCCCTGTCAAGGGTTTGGTGGCATGCTTCTTTTAACTTGGAAATTCGTTTGATAACAAAGCGGGAAGGATGGGTACATATATTGGTTTGAACGTTTCAAACCCCTTGAATAGATATGAGGCAATGAAAATTTTGGTTAAAATCTGGATTTATCATGGAATTCCTGAAATTGTAGTTCAATTAGTCGGAGCGCATTGGTTCATTATGGACTTGAACATTTTTTGCTTAATGGCTTTCCTTATAGATTTTGTTGAATTAGATTTGTGAGTATGAAATGAAATTTATCTTTATTATCCATTTTAATACTTTTGAACAAGCACTATAGGGCAAGAATAATCAGCTCACCTATTGTCGGCTCCTAATTCTTCCTAATTCTATTTTCACCAATCACAATAAATATGATTAATCAAACGAGTTTAAGAATTTAAGCATATATAAAACATATTTTCAAGACAATCTATTTACAATTTACATTCATGTTTAAATAAAATATGACATTCCAAACAAAATAATAACAAAATACTCATATTTAAATACAACATTTAACGTCAACATGCAAACATTTATACTTAAATCCAACAAATAAAATCATCATGTAACTTTTAAATTCATAAAACAAATCACAAAATAATTTTTTCGTCAATCAAATTTACTAAAACGACATCATTTTATTAGAAGCTGAAATCGATCGTACCGACTAAATTAAATTCAACCAACCTTCATTCCAATCCGATTCCCCCAGTCGAGAGAACCGACCTACCTGTAACTTCGATCTCTGTATCAACAAATGACGCCCGAAGAATAACACATTCCATCCAACCCAAGACTTCGTGAATGCCCATTCGTGAAGTATATTAAAAATAAAACTAGCCCGGTTCTTCTATCATCGTTCGGCTTCTCCAGCCAGGCCCCCAACCAGCTAAAACAAGCTATTGATTTCTTGGTTGAAAACTTCCTAGGTACAGGCCCATATAGTCCCTGTGGCCCACGACTTTGTCATTTTACTCGGGCCCCCAAATAACTTTGTCCCGGGACGGGAACGGGGCAGCATAACGTTGAAAGCAATGAAAGGGACGGGAAAGAAGTTTTGTCTCCGTCCGCCGACACACCTCCTTAAACCCTACCCGTCCTATCCGTTAACGCGAAAAAGGCTGAAGAAGAATACATATCGCCTTCCCTATCCCCTGCAAAACGCGTCGCCGACTTCCGTTTCACCTCGCCTTCCACACCGTCGATTCACGATTTCAAGACGAATCTGGTCCTCTCATCCAACGGTTCCAAAGCTACGCATAACAATAGGTTAGATCTGGTTTGGCTATTGGAGAAGCTTATGCACAATAATTAATAATAAAACAAACTGGACCACAAATCTCCTCGTTGAAATTTTCATTGAGCTGTAAAATTCCGCCGGCGACGTGTAACAACAATACATGCACAACGAAGACGAAGGAAACAAGACCGTAATAAGTCAACGAGGAATTGTGGGAGTGGAAATGTAATTGGTGGCACGTTTATGCTTGGAATATAATTTCATTAACCATGCCGCTTTGAATTGTCTAATTACCGGGGGAAAATGGAACTATGATTATATAGTTAATTGAAGAACGGAAATGACGTTGCGGTCTTAGAACTTACTGGATTAGGACTTTGACATCAGGCATGAAATTCGTGTGTAAGTTTGGATGTTGCCTTTTTTCATGCTAACCGAAAATTACTTATCATACTTATATAGACCTGTGAATTGCATGCAAACTCATCATAGTTGAAAATTTGGTTTATAAGGGTGGACTTATGGAAGATAATTTGCCTTTAAATTTGAATTAGATCATATTAAAATTATGTTGATATTTACCAAAAATCAATATTTGAGGGTCTAATCTGTATTTGGTTATCTGATAAATTAAAAAAATGAAATATTTAGCAAAACACTTCATATCTTGGAGTACACGATTATCAGTCATTCGACGATTTTGTAAAATTGATTTATAAATTTTACATGAAATGCTGAGGACATAAATATTACAAACGGTTGGTTATATACTTATATTTACAAACTTATTGTTCATAATTTACAAATAAATAATATATTATATGCTGTAAAATATTGGTTTGTAAGTTAAATATTTTATAGATAAAGTATCCAACAAAAAGTAAAATAAATAATAGTGTTACTTTGCGTTGGTTCTATTATAGAAAATTAGAAATGTTGGGTTGGGTTTGTTTTCTAATACTTATTGCAAATTAGAAAACTTGACAACTCTAACAGGGATGTATCACCTTCCTAAATTTCGTAATGACTAAAATACCCCCGCGGTGGGAGGGCAGAACAAACTGGGGTTGGAGCAAACAATAAAGGACGAGACAGTAACTTCAAGCCTAATTAATAGCCATGACGAGGAAAGGAAATGGGATTGATGGCAAAATTAGGAGACTGATGACTTCCTTCCTTCCTTCCGTCGTAAGCGAACCAAACAGTCTTTCACAATTGGTTTGCAAACGCCTCTAGAATTTGTCATTCCTCTTCCTTCCTTCGTCGCCTTCTTTCTCCGCCAACAAGCTCGGTCAGACTCTCTCCTTTATCCAGTATCGCCGCCGTCCGCCGGGGAAGATCCGACAGCTATTCTTCTCCCTCTCCCTCTGCAATGCTGGCTGAGATCGCCGGATTCGGTCTCTGAACAGTGTTTTGACTCTGAGCGCTCTACCGACGCACAGAAGGGAGCACCGCCGCCGGCGAATTGCGAGAATGGGAGCCGCGCCTTCTTCCCCGGGCCATAGTGAGAAGCGTCCGGCGGAAACGGCGGAGTATTTAGTTGGAACATTTGTCGGTGAGAAATCTTTCCCCCTCGGTTCAGATTTCTGGCAGAAACTCTTGGAGCTCCCTCTCCATCTACGGTGGCCTGCTGATCGCGTTCGTGAAGCATGTCAGCTGTTTGGTTAGTTTTTCTCGCATTCTTCCCCTCTTCCATTAGGATTTTTTTCCCCGATCATAAGTCGGAATTAGTAGTTAAGTTCACCGGAGTATCAGGTTTGGCGGCATTTTTGTGAACTTCATCTTCGTGCTAGAGCATGTATCCGGACTAATTCGGAAGGTCCAGTTGCATTATAGAATTGCTTGGGGATTTCTCTTGTTTGCTGAATCGGATGGTCTAGGGCGCCATTAATGGTCAATCGAATGCTTTGCTTGCTATCTTGACTAAGTAAAATTGGGATGTCAGACTGGAAGGATCATTGAATTTGATTTTAAGCGTTCTATTGTTTCTGGTCTATAGTTTGCGTTTACTGTTATTGTGATTTTCACTGCCAGCATTGATGGAACTGTCCGCTTGGTATCTTGACTTGGTAAAATTGGGATGTCAAACTGGAAGGATCATTGAATTTGATTTTAAGCGGTTTATTCTTCTGGTCATGGCTCTAGTTTGCATTTACTGTTCTTGTGATTTTCACTGCTGGCATTGATGAAACTGTCCTTTGTTTGATTTGCACGATTTACATGTAGCACAAAACAACTCTTGCACCAGGCATCTCGCAAAGATACTCATTCACCTGGCGCAGTGTTTGCAAGAGTGTATGTCAGTTTCTGGTGCACCATTAGCCGCGTATGTGAAGGCTAGCAACGCAGCATACATTTCCTCTGTCTTTCTCAAGCACCTAATAGAGAATGCTCAAAGCAACAGTGTCGAGGAGCTATATCTTTCACTGAATGCCAGTGAGCCAATTCCTCCAGATTTCGTTGTAGGTATGCTTTTGCTTCGGTAACTTGTCCTTACGTGATGCTTCTTCCACTTAGATGAAGTGAGTGAGTTGGTTTCGTTTTATATTTTCTCATTTGAAGTTCTGTGGGATGAAAGCTGAGTTACATATTACTGGATTTTGCATAATCGATGGAGAACTAGTGTGTATGGTTTTTTCTATTAGCATTATCGGCTAATAGAAGTCATGATTCCTGGTTGACTTGGGTATTTGCCTGCTGCAATCCATGAGCATACTTCTCATCAAAGTGTGCAATTGCTGTCTGTTTCCAATATTTGAAATGTGCTGTAATTACTGGTAAAAGACTTGTAGAAAAAAATAGATGGCGATGGTGTGATTTAACAGTAAATCTTGGTCGCTTGAAGCTGTAGATGTTTGTGATGAAGCCCCTTCCCAACATCTTTGGGTACAAATAAGGTTTCTGTTTTCTGGCAGTAAAATCATGACTAAAATACTTTACAATTTTTGTCTGCAGATCAGAATGTTGAACATCTTGTCATGCATAATGTCCTCAAGTTTATTGGTTTAGTAGATGTCAGGTATGGCATGGAAAGCTATGATTTGCTTATTGTAGTCGATATTTGCATCTTCCCCACCTAAAATGTATTTGTGTTTGCTCAAGCCCAAACACATGTAGCCTGCATCAGGAGTTGCTCAACTTCTTGTTTGTTGCGTTGTCAACTCAACTGCTGTACGCGCCAACTCCTGGGCCAACAGATATGAACCCATTCATTGATGCTGTGATGACTCAGGTTAGAAGATGAATTTCTCCTTGATCATTGCTCTCAAGTTTCTTGGTCTTTTCCACCAAAAAAGAAGATAAGAGTTTCTTGATCTTGAACATCTGTCTATATTCTATAATATGCAGGAAAGCTCCTTGGTTACTATGGTTGTTCACAGGTTGCTGCTCAATTACATAATGCGGCCTCGAATCGCCTTGAATGTTGGGACTTATCCTCCATTTGGAGAGGCAGGGCAGCCTGGTGTGCTGCAGAGAGTGGGTTCCGCTGCTGGTAAGTTATTGTCTGTTAACTGTAAAGACAACCCTGTATTGGTAATCCCTTGTGAGCCTTATTTTGCTGAAGTGTTTTATTTCAATAACGAAAGTACATCAAAGTATTTTCTTCTCACATTTGAGAATGTTAAGGGAAAAGAGAAGCACTCGATGATTTGTCTAAAAAAACTTTAAATGTATGTTTTATGTGACTGTTTTGGGACAGAAGAATGCGCCCCTGCGGTCTCTTTGCTTTTGATGTTTTTTTCCATTCAGCTTTATACTCCTTCAACTGACATTCCTTTTTCTTTTGTTGCATTCGTTAGATGCTGATTGACATTATCATGGTTGACTTGCAGCTAACTTGGTCTTACTCCCATTCAACTATTTGGTTAGTTCAAATGGGCAAGGTGTAAGGAACCCGCTAGCAGAGTGCAGCCTCCATGTGTTGCTTATTCTTAATTATTATCGCAAATGTAACCCGGGAGATGAGTCCATAACAGACACAAGTGATGACAGCGGAACGTCAGATTCTTTTTCAAAATCGTTTGTTGAGAACCCCTATTGCAAAGCTCTGGAAAATATGAGGGATATTGACCGTAAGAGGGCTCCCTGCTTTTATAAAACTAATCGCTTGATGACTTGGTATTTGGATTATCTCCTCGTTAAATACCTATGTGTTTGCAGTTGATCGTGTGGATATTGAGAAGAACGCACACAATCCTTCAGTTGTGAGGTTGCCATTTGCGTCACTTTTTGATACTCTTGGAATGTAAGTGTCCTCTCCCTCTTGTTGCCTGCATTGTGTTCATTTTTATGCTCTGACATGCCTTATGTTAATTGTTCTTAGATTTCTGTATCAAGTCCAATTCTGATTGAAGTTAGAACCACTCACTCATTGCACATACATAGTTAAAATAGTCAGGGGAAGATAAAGGTATGAATACCAGTAATTCAATTCAAACTCAAAGCTACCATGCATGTCTGCTTCAATGGTCTCATGAGACATCAACTTTAGTCGACCAAGTCAGAGCACTTGTTTAAAGGCTGTTAACCGACTTTTACTGTTGTTAGATGGTGAATGATTTTCTAGTGTCTATTGATTGGACATTATCATGGCATGTATGTCCCAGAGTAATTCACTACAGATTATTTGTTCTGCAGGTGCTTGACTGATGAAACAGCAGCTCTATTGCTTTATACATTGTTGAATGGGAACTCTGATTTCTTGGAATATGTTCTGGTGCGAACTGATGTAGATACACTGGTATGAGTCTCAGTTTAGCCTTGGATTTTGTCTTCATAGTAATTTGTAGTAGCAAATTCACAATAATTTGGCAATTTTTTAGCAGCAGCCTGACATGGTGTGCTCTTTTACATTAACTTGCAGTTGATGCCAATTCTGGAGACTCTATATAATACCTCAAGGAGGTCGTCTAATCATATCTACATTTTGTTGATTATACTTCTCATATTGAGTCAAGATTCTTCATTTAATGCGAGCATCCACAAGATGGTAATTAATTGCCTCCATTGTCTTTATTGTTACTGTGTGTCGCTTTGCTTCTCATCTTAGTTTATCTTGCCTCTTTTGCTTACAGATATTGGCTAGTGTTCCATGGTATCAAGAACACCTTCTCCATCAAACGTCTCTTGGCTCCTTGATGGTGATAATCCTGATAAGGACCGTGAAGTATAATCTGTCCAAGTTGAAGGTATATTGTTATGTTATCATTATGGCCAGACAAATCACCATTGGGTCACTTGTGAATTTTCTTGTGATTTGTTGACGATTTACCTGCACTGCATTTGGCTTAGTGTCCAATGATTAAGTAATGACATGCACCGATTTGAAGCAATAACAGGAGAATCGTCCAGTGACCTGACTCAAAGCACTGTTGCAAACTTATGCAATGATTGTGGTGTAGGTTACTAGTTTTTGCTCATCAGCTCAATGCTTTTTGTTTTGGCTTAAGATTGTTAATGCTCTAGTATAATTCATAAGTAGGATTCATAATGTTCAGTGAGCATAGTGGCAAGGAAACATTCAATATTCAACCTCCTGTCTGTTTCTTCTTTTGTCAACATGTTTTATTGTGGAGTTTGTTAACTTAGTAAAATGAGAACCGGAATTCGTATTCTGCTTGTATATGACACAACTAACAGATAATTGTCATGTGGTGATTCGTTGAGTGGTACTGATTGTAATATTTTGAACCGCCATTCTGATTAAAACAGGAACCTCTGAACCTTCGTAATTCTTGTAAGTTAATCTTCAACAGGATCTCTATTTGCACACAACTTGCCTAGCAACTTTGGCCAACATGGCTCCTCATGTGCATCGTTTGAGTGCATATGCATCACAGAGATTGGTTAGCCTCTTCTACATGCTCTCACGCAAGTATGTCACTCTAATTCTTCTGCTTGTATTTTGTGAATTTTATCAATATTCCTCTTTTCTGATCCATCTGTTGCTGGTTTCGATTTGTACAGTATTAGATATGGTTATGGTTTACTTAGAAGGTGTCTCTTTTGTCGCACTTTAGGTACAATAAGCTTGCAGAGAGGATTGATGAGAAGAGAGGGAAGGGTGGTTTGGTTGAAGAGAACGACCTCGCACTAGACATGGTAATCATCTATGTCTAATATGAAAACGGTCCCTTCTGCTTCCCTTATCTGTTTGTTTTCTTGATGGCTTAACTGTTCTTTTGTTGCAGTCAGCCGAACTGCACATATATGCTGACTTCCTGAGAATTGTGCTTGAAATCTTAAATGCTATTTTAACCTATGCTCTTCCTCGGAATCCGGAGGTACATTTTCATCTTGTTAACTCGATATGTTTCTCCGGAGGTCAAAAGATTGTTTATTGAAAACATCTGTATTCATGTCATGTGGGCAGGTTGTATATGCCATAATGCACAGGCAAGAGGTTTTTCAGCCTTTCAAAAGTCATCCACGCTTCAATGAACTGATTGAAAATATATTTCTGGTATGTTCCATATCATGACTTTGCTCTCGCCCAGTGTCTGAATATTTTTATATAACGTCCGATAGCCAAGTTTCTATTTCAGCCCCATGTCAAGTCTGTGGGTGGCCAATTAAAGAACCTTGTTTCTGTTTGAAATAGGATGTCAAACTGCAAGTTGTCAAAATCTGTTGATTTGTTGGATCTTTCCCACTGATAACAAGTGTTTTTCTGGTAATGTTAGGTTCTGGATCATTTCAACAGCCGAATCGATGCTCAGAAAGAAGACGGTGAATGGTCGGTGGAGAAGGTTCTCCAACTCATAATCAGCATTTGTCGATCGTGGCGGGGTGAAGGAATGAAGGTAAAAAATAAACAATAATCCTGTTCAGAATCATCTGCCTTGCCCTGCCACTTTGGATGAACTGGCTCTAGTCAGGAGTTTCCTCTGGTGTCACTAGCCTAACGGCGGCGTCTTCTAACAAATAAACCTATATTTTGCAGATGTTCACTCAATTGCATTTCTCATACGAGCAAGAGAGTCATCCAGAGGAATTCTTTGCACCATATATCTGGCGGCTAACCTTTTCACAATGGTACATTGCTTCCCATGTAGATCTCCCTTGCATTATTGGACTGCCTTGTCTAGTTACCAAGCTTCAATTCGCTACGCGTGTTCTGATTACTGCTTTAATTAATATGCAGTGGATACACCTTCGATCCCAGCGCGATAATTCTTTTCCCTCCTGATTTGCCTTTGGTAGTATGTATCTGAATCCCCCTTTTTTCTGTCCCTCGATCTTCATTTAGATGTACTTTGCAGAACCAGATAGGGGTGGCTAATCGTTTTCTGGTTTTTGGGTGACCAATTGATTAACACTTGACAGCTCAGTTACGGTTCGAATTAGAGCCTCTCTTTTTTCGCTTGTAATGGCGAACAACTGACTCTTGGGCTGACCTTTGCAAATGCAGGAGGGCGAGGAGGGTGAACAGACCACCAGGCACGAGAATGGGGAGTTGAAACATCACGATGTTCTGCTGGATGTCTGATGGTAATGCTGGTGCAGCACTAACTGCTAAAGGATTGAAACTCCTCCATCTTTCGTAATCGTCAAGTCACTCCTGTATGTAAATATTTTTATAAAATGAAATTAGAAATTAAAGTTTTCCCCCATCTTCTCATTCTTTTCCCACCTGTCAATATGCTTTGTATCCCTGTAGCAGTTTTGCCCCTATAGAAGAATGAGAGACAAAACTACTGTATTGGACACTAATAATTATAGTTTCCTTATTAATTTGTGAAAATAAGAAGCTGCTCTTGTGTTCGATGTGTTGCTTATGGTAAGAGGGTTCCTGTCTCATACGTTGTAGAGCTTCTTGTATAGTTATATTGTACATTCTGATGAACTTATGATTAGAGTGCTTACATTATTTGATTCAGTGAATTGTAAGATTGGGTTCACTTAAAAGGGTAATTGGGTGTGGAGGTTGTGCCTAAAAAGTTTGGGATAGAGGATTTTGTATTAAAACTGTGATTAATTGTGATTCAATCATTTCATACGACTAAAAATTGTCTCGCAGTTTAGGCGCCGATACAGATAGTATTGTCATACAATCCTTGATTGGAATTAGATCAATTGTTTTTAATGTTATGACCCATTGTTAATTAGTTTAGTTATTATGAACCCTTCTTGTCTTAGATTGGGTAGGGAATACTGCTACGAACTTGTAATCGTTTATAAGGGGAAAAAAGGTTAGGCAAAATACATCTGTATAGCAATAACTTTCACACTTTTGACAAATATAGCCATTATTATTCGAAAACCACAAATAGCCACTTCCGTCCATCTCTTTAACGGTGTTACTTAACAATCTGACTGTACAGACGGAAATGATGAGCTGGCAATTTCTCGTCAGACACGTGGATTAACAAAAAAACAAAAAAATAATTTTTTTATTTATTAAAATATAAAAGAAGAAAACCCATATTACAAAAAAAAAAAAACCTTAAAAACCCTAGCCGCACAAACCTTATCTCCCTCATTCTCTCTTATTCTTTCTGGAAAACCAACGAAAAAGAAGAGTAAGAATACAGATGAAGTCGATGAGCTCGTCTCTCTCGATCTTCTCATCCTTCCATTTCTCGATCGGCCCCTGTTCTTCCCCAACTAGCGCCGATCTGCTCTCTCTCTCTCTCTCTCTCTCTCCCTTTCTGAAAATGACGAGAAGAAAAGAACGCCGGTAATTGAGGACGACGGTGACGAAGGTGTTTGACGCAGGCGATGATGAGGATGGCGGCGGCGAAAGGCTATAGAACTCCTCGGAAGTCAGAACCTCTTCAGGGGGTCATATTTCTGGCGGCGGCGGCGAAAGACTTTCTTCACTCCAGCAGTTTTGGTTGTCGCTGTAGCTGAACGGAGATAGAGAAAATGGTGGGAAATTCGAGATGCGCACCGAAGTTGAAATGGATTCGTTCTTCGAATCAGCCAATTGTTTGCTAGAGTTCTCGATCTTTTTAATCCTTGGCTTGCCGCCCAGCTTCACCTTGGCCACAGTTTGTTACCGCTGGCGACGAGAGAGCGTCGAAGGAGAAGTTTCAGACGGGGAGAGATGGAAGGAAAGAAAACCGCCGTCGACAGAGGCGAAGAATCTCCGGTCGTGATGATGACGAAGCAAAGGGAGGAAGGGGAAGGGTCTTGCAGAGTTGGCGACGAATCGATAGTCAATCGATTTCGCTTCCCGTTTCCTAGATAGCCGCCGAGCTTGAATTGAGAAGAAGCAGGGGCCAGGAGGTGCTGCCGCCATTGTTAGTGGTGGTTAGGGGTCTTTTGATTGGGATTCAATTGTTGTTGGCGGAGCTCGACTTCAATCCCACCACCGGGAAGCTCGTGGTATCTGCGGCATCGGTAGGGATGGGTGAATCGGGGAGATCGATGAAGGTTTGCAGGCTTGAGGGGCGGCGATGAGGGAAAGTGGAAGGGGTAGGGAAAATTTTAGTGAAGATTTTTTTTGTTTTTTTTTTAATTTTAAATTAATTATTTTATAATTTAAAATGATGTGGCAATGATATGCTGACTGGTCGCTGACGTGTGCGATGATTTGGCATCTTAATCAGCCTAACGTTAACCTAACTGACGGAGTTTCTAACACCGTCAAAGTTTCTAACAAAAATGGCTAGATTTATCACATACGATCCAATTTTTAGGCTATTTGAGGTTTTCGAATAGTAATGGCTATATTTGTCAAAAGTGTGAAAGTTATGGCTATACAAGTGTATTTTGCCAAAAGGTTAATGCAAAAGGCTGAAATTTGAATCAAACAGTATTTCATTCATTCGTATACTTACTAGTAGCATATAAATACAAACACAAGCTTCAGCTGACCAACACACCTAGCAAAATTAGGCGATTTACACAAAGGGCGCACCCTTGACGTACTCGGTGAAGGCCAGGGCGACCAAACCCAGCATGGCAAATCTACCGTTCCACATCTCCGCATCGGAGGTCATCAGACCTTTCGATTTCGACTCCACGGTGACCCCCTTGAACAGAGGGATCAACGACGCCAGAGTGAACAGCACGCTGGTCGCAACGAACCAGGTGGAGCCTCCCTCTGAGATCTGGGTGAACACACCTTGTCCCCTGGATAGCTCCACCGCCAAGGCGGCCACGAATCCCACCATCGCCAGCCTGCCGTTGATCCTCTCCGGCGCCGGCCCGCTGAACGCCAACACGTCGCCAAATTTGGTGCTCACCTTGGGCGCCTGCGGCTTGGGCGGAGTGGGAGTAGGGATTTGAGATGTCGTTGGCGGTACAACTGTGGGTTCGCTGCTCTGTTCTGTTTTCTCATCCTGCCAAAAAAATTGTCGAAAAAATTAGCCCAGCTGTTCACGGAAACATTGAGAAGCTAGAGCAGCGCGAGCAGGTATTATAAGCTGAGAACTTACCCCGGTGGCCATGCACCTGACGGCATTTCTGCTTAGACGCGGTACACTGGCGATACGAGGGAAGGAGTAGGAGGTGGTTCGGGTTCGGCTGGCCAGGGCTGGGCTGGCGAAAATTGTTTGCAAGGCTGCCGAGGTGAAGGCCATTTTATCGGGAGAGATGTGAAATTGGTTCTATATGAAACAAAAAAACAGAAGATAGGGAAACTCAAGCTTCAAGCTTGCAACTTTAGAAAAGAAGATGGAGAGTAGAGTAAGCTGTTGCACTTCCGTTGAGTGAGCTGTGAGAAGTAATGGGGCGGGTGAAAGCATATAAAGGGAAAGGGGAAAGGAGAAGTGAGGATATTTGAGGCTCCACGTCGAGTGGTATGTTTTCCGGGGAAAAAACAAAGTTTGATTTGGGTCCAAGTGGGTTGGATTGTCGACATATGGTGAAAAGGGAATGACGTGGTTAGTTTGGGCGCCGTCCATGGCTGCACGGACCCCAGTGCCAAGTGGAGGAGGAGCAGGAAAACGAAGAACTTGAGGCCAGCATTGGTCCTGAAGATTTTCTTCTAGGCTAGAGGGTTTAGGGAGTTTGGCATATTCTTCCTTCCAGTTCCAGTACATTCTGGTTATCGGTCTTGAAACTAGGGATGAAAATTTCTTACTATTAATCATATCAAAGTAAACACCTTGATTATGAGAAGGGAATGAGTGAAGTATATATTAGTTTGAGATTTGTTGATACTTTAAATGGACAAAAATTAGGTATGAAGATAAATTTACATACAAAAATTCGATCTATTTGTAAAATTAAAAAAGTTTAGATACCAAACAATAATTTTATATAAGTATGGGTAAAAATTCAAATTCATAAATTAAAATTTCAACCCAAATAAATAATGTATGACTAATTGACTATAAACTCATCAAAATCTACTTCCTCCAATAATATATAGTAGAGTTTTGTCTACTATTCTCTATTTCGAATTTTTTGCAACGAGAGAGAAAGTAGGAATGACGTTTTTGTATTTACAACTCATTATTTATTCTATATAAGAAAAGCCAATATAAGAATTTGAACCCTGGTCTCTGCAAACAAAGACAACAATCAGAACCAATTACAGTAAACAAATTTATTGTTTCTTTTTTAATACAAAACATACACGAAGTAAAATTTTGAAAATCGAATGACTTTTCCATCATGATTAGCAAGTCCACTACGTCTACTGTATGTATTTTTATGGTGTTTGATACTGCAATTTTCATAGCAGAGTTTCATGTGGTTTCTCAATTCTAAAATTACTACTCCCTCCTTAATTTTCGCTAAAGGTGAATTGGTAAGTGGCTAACATGTAAGAACTAATTCTATTACTATGTGTTGTGTCTTTGCATTTTTTTCATTTATATTTAAATTTAGTACTTTTTTATCTTTGGTCTTATCTCTTTCTAACTTCCACCGAAATTTCCTCCATCGTGCAAATAGTTTGCGCCCCTTTCACTTTACAATACAAGGACGCATATGAAAATCAATCTTCCGGTATCTCTTGGCACTACGATTTTATTGTTTGAGGATCTAAACTGGGCAAGTAGAAGATTTCAACTCCTATATCAATCCAGGGCGAATAGAATGGAGTTGCAGAAGGAGGATTAGAAATTGAATTTTTGGTTGAAACATACGCCTCTTGAGATTGAAGATAGAGTGGATAAAAATTTGATTGTATAATGGAGAGTGGTGGCTATTGGATCTTTAGGTTTATGATTTTTGCAGCTATCACAACCTATTTCTATCTTAAAACGTGGAATCATTTATTGGTTTACTGAAGTAGGTCGGTCGATTCTTTATTCAACCTACTGGAACTGATTAAGAAGGAGTGTCTAATTTTGTTCTTTATTACTTTGGTCGAGTCTATTAGTGTATTGGATATAACCTTAATCTTGGAGTTTGCTCTCAAGTTTTGATGGTCCCCTCTTAGTTAGGTTGTTAGTATATAGTTGACTTGAGTAAGCAACTCTCTATCTCTTGTTAGTAATCAACAATCGTGGTCAAAACGATTGTTGATTGTTATTTTGTTGTTTTAGTTTTTTTTATGTGTGAACAATTATGATTTCTGTTTTATTGTATTTCTTGTTAGTCTGTTTAGTTGTTATGCTATGAATTGATGAGTCCTTGTTATCATTATTTATGACTATTTATGATGGTTTGAAACATAATTTATACGAGCAAAAGAACCACACAAATCGACATACATAAGCAAAAAAGACACGGGGCATAGGTTGACTTTCTTGTATTCGGTCGACCTCGTACCGGATTAGGTCAACCTCGAAACTAACACTTGATCTTCATTTTACGTCAAATGATTGAACACTTTGATAGAACACTTATCTTCTATCTGGTCGACCTCTTTCCTTATATGGTCGACCATTTTGTTAATGATTGTCATCAAGTGGTCGACCTATATACCTTAGGTGGTCGACCATGTTGTTTCTGACGCCAACGAAATGGCCGACCGAGGTTTTATTCTGGTCGACCAAAAATAACAACTTAATCTAAGTGCGGTCGACCAGGTGGTCGTTGAGGTCGACCGCAATGCTTTCTCGTGCTGCCCAAATTAGTCAATTCGGTCGACCGCCTTCAGGAATAGGTCGACCGAAAATGTCCATGTCACGATGACATGCATGTCATAGTAGGCATACCCTAAAAGATATATTAAACATTGGTATTTAATAATTCCAAATTAAAAATCAAAATTCGTGATTAGTATTTTATGTAAAAAAAAAAGGAAATTAAAAATATTCACACTCTATCTTCAACTCCCAATGACATTATTAACGTTTTACAATTACATTATCAACTATTATGAAGTATATTATTATTGATATACCCCATCATTATCAACAATTCCAGTATACTTATCAACATTTTATGATTATATTATTAACGAATTTAGTTCAATTGCTAACAATTTATATTTTCATTATCAATGCTTATTAATGAATTATTAAAGTTATGTTACATCATTATTAAAGAGTTGAATAACATTATCATTGATTTACAACATCTTTAGTATCATTCAATATTAAGTGTCAATATACAACATTAGGATATTGAAAACCATTAATAACGAATGTGCACGTCATTAATAAATAAATTGAATTTCATTGAGAACCAACACAAAATCATTAACAATGTTTGGATTCGATATTAAGTGCCAAATGTCATTAAAAACGTTCAAAATGTGGTTGTCTTTATTTCAAAACTAAAACAAAACTTTTAACAATAAATCGGCTTCAACACTAAAAATGACATTAGGCCGTTAACAATATAAGTTAAAAATTGCTAACCATAAACATTTTCATGATTAACACTTAAGAATGAATTATTAACATTTTGTCACATCATTATTAACCGTTCTATTAATGCTTTACAATATATTTATTAATGATTTATGCTATTACATCATATCCATAACTATATAGTGACGGAGGTCAGAGAGGCAACAACCAGCACCGGCGATAAAAGCTTGCAGTGCGCATTTAGTAGCTTTTGCGCCATTTGCATAGGAATTGTGAAGGTGATTTATGAGTGTGGCTGATTTTTTATTTTTTTAATAATTAATATATTAATTATCCCTAACTACCGGTTAATTATTAACTACCAGATTCTCTCGGCCAATAGCAATCACTTAAGGACCTGAACCTAGCCCGACTCATTGTTGTCCTAGATTGGGTAGGGAAGAAAACTGCTATGCAATTGTGGTCGTTCGTCAGAATTTTTAGGGCTATGGCTAAAATTCCTCATCATAGTGTGTTCCATTCGTATATTTACTAGTAGCATATAAGTACACAAACATTACACAGGCTCCAGCCGACCATCACACGCCAACAAAATTACACAAAGGGACCACCCTTGACGTACTCGGTGAAGGCCAGTGCAACCAGCCCCAACATCGCAAATCTACCATTCCACATCTCCGCATCAGAGGTCATCAGCCCTTTCGATTTCGACTCCGCGGTGATTCCCTTGGACAGAGGGATCAACGACGCAAGAGTGAACAGCACGCTGGTGGCGACGAACCAGGTGGCGCCTCCCTCGGAGATCTGGGTGAACACATCCTGTCCCCTGGACAGCTCCACCGCCAAGGCGGCCACGAATCCCACCATCGCCAGCCTGCCGTTGATCCTCTCGGGCGCCGGCCCGCTGAACGCCAACACGTCGCCGAATTTGGTGCTCACCTTGGGCGCCTGCGGCTTGGGCGGAGTGGGAGTAGTAGGGATTTGAGATGTCGTTGGGGGTACCGATGTGGGTTCGCTGCTCTGTTCTGTCTTTTCATCCTGCAAAAAAAATTCGTCTTGAGTGATTAGCCCCACTACTTACAAAATCGATAACGATAACGACATTATAAGACCGATTTAGGGTTTAGAATTTAGGATTTAGTACTTACTCCGGTGGCCATACACCGGACTGCATTTCTGCTCAGACGCGGAACACTGGCGATGCGAGGGAAGGAGTAGCAGGTGGTTCTGGCCCGGCTGGTCAGAGCTGGGCTGGCGAAGATTGTCTGCAAGGTCGACGAGGTCAAGGCCATTTTTATCGGAGAGGTGTGAAATCGCTTCAATCTTTACACAAAAACAGAGGATAGGCAAATTCAAGCTTGCAGCTTTAGAGAGGAAGAAGGAGGTAACTGTTTGCACTTCGGTTGAGTTGAGTTATGAGGGTTGGTGGGGCGGTTGCAGGATTATAAAGGGAAAGGGGAAAGGAGAAGTGAGGATATTTGAAGCTCCACGTCGAGTGGTGTGTTTTCCATAAAAAAGGTATTTTGGGTTGTCGACATATGGTGAAAAGGGGATGACGTGGTTAATTTGGGAGCCGTCCATGGCTGCTCGGACCTTACTGCCAAGTGGAGGAAGAGGAAGACGACGGAAGAACTTGAGGCCAGCGTTGGTCCTGAGGAATTTTCTTACTAGTGCTAGAGGGTTTAGGGAGTTTTCAGTTTTGCATCTTCTTCCTTTCCAGTACATTCTGGTTACCGGTCCTGAAATTTGCCACGGTTTTACCACATGAACTCGACACGTCTCTAAGTATAGTTAGAGAGGCCAATTTCAAAACTTTCATCTTCCTTCAGTGACTCCACTTCTCTCTTTCTAATTTGGCCTCTTCCATTGTTGAGATCATATTGTTTGCATTGGTTAGTTGGATCGCTAAATTTCGTCCTACAATCAGCCAATTATATGGCATAAAAAAGTCGATTTTTCAGGACAACATTTAGTAATTTTTTTATGAGAAGGTAGGAGTTATGCAGATTTTTCAGGATGTTCTTTCGCAGACAATCAGGGCATCAGGTTGGAAGACGTTAACTGTTGAGATTAGAATCAGAATATTTTAAGTTATCTTCTTATGAAAATTAATGAGCAAGATTATAGTACACTTTATTAGTATTAAGAAGGAACTGGATTCATGAATTTATCAATAAGATAATAGTCTAAATGATTAAGCCGTTCTAGTAAATTAATATGATTTTTTACATTCAAGCCCAGCCTTGTAGAAGCTTTTCACCCTTATAAGGAAAGTGAGAGACATATAAGAACTGTCGAAAGAAGAAAAATAAACTGAAAGTAATATATTTGTTGCAAATAAAGTTGGTCGTAAACTAGTTTTAAGTTTTAACCATGAACATCAGGGTAAATGACACATTTGGTCACTGAGATTACTAAATCGTGTCATATTTAGTCACTAGAAAAATTTAATATCAATGTTGGTCACTCGAATTACTGACACATGTCACATTTGGTCACTCTTCTGTAGCCTCTGTCCAACTCCGGTCACTCGAATTATTGAAAAATGTCACATTTAGTCACTCATATTACTGAAACATGTCACATTTAGTCACTCTCCCAAAAGTTTCCGTCCAACTACATTAATGGAGTTGGACGGAAACTGACGGGAGAGTGACTAAATTTGACCAGTTTCGATAATTCGAGTGACCAAAATTGATATTAATTTTTTCTAGTGACTAAACATGACATAATTTAATAATCTCAGTGACCAAATGTGTCATTTACCCATGAACATCAAGAAACATCCCATTTTCACAAACAGAGCTTCATTTTGAGGGCTTCCATCAAATGGAAGATACGATTTGAGTGGGCTTAGGAGCCAGCCTTCTTTATTAATGCCCAACGCGAGTGGGCTTGTTCGGCCCTATTGGTGCTCTATTTTATATTTGTCCTCCCCCCTCACTGTAGCTTCTGTGGTTTGGGTCCAGTTAAGTTTCAGGCCCGAGCCCAATAGTGACTCCTGAGATATATCTGGCGGCTGACGATATTAATTAGCAAAGCGATTCAAAGAACTCCAACGGCGATGATAATGGGGCTGAAGATGGTGGAAGTTGCTGCCGTGACCACCACCGTCAATCTCCACGCAATACAACCGTTTCCCTCCGTTTCCGTCCAATCTGCTCATCTTCAATGTATCAAATTCCCATTGAAGAGAACAAGCAAGGTCCGAGCTCTTCTTATTTCGGAGTCTCCTCCTCCTCCTCGTTCCTCTCCCACTGTGACATTTCGTCGAACGGTTGGAAGGCAGTCGTTAGTGAAAGGCGAAATCGGTAACAATTCCGGAGATAAGGGCACAAACAGGAAAAGGGTATTCTTCTTGGACGTGAACCCACTTTGTTACGACGGAAGCACGCCCAGCCTGGACGCTTTTGGACACTGGATTTCCCTTTTCTTCTCTCAGGTCAGCCTTACTGATCCTGTTATCGCCGTATTTGACGGGGAAGGGGGCGGTGAGCATCGGAGGCGATTGCTGCCTTCCTATAAAGAACACCGCCGGAGATTTTTGGCCGATCGATTATCAGTGACGTCCCAGAAGCACGCAAAGGATCACGCCGAAAGGGCTCAGGTAGTGATTAATGTATTGTCCAAATGCAACGTCCCTATTGTGAAAGTTGAGGGTCAGGAAGCAGACGATGTCGTAGCAACGCTGGCTGAGCAAGTTCGTCCGAGAGGCTACAGAGTGGTTATTGCCTCCCCTGACAAGGATTTCAAGCAGTTGATTTGTGAAGATGTTCAAATTGTTTGCCCCATTACCGAGCTGAAAAGATGGTCTTTTTATACCCTGAAGCACTATTTAGCTCAGTATAATTGTGACCCGTGCTCTGATCTCAGCTACCGTAGCATTGTGGGTGATGAAGTTGATGGGGTTCCTGGGATACAGAGTGTGGCACCTGGATTTGGTCGAAAAACTGCTCTGAAGCTTCTGAAAAGACATGGGTCGTTGGAGAATTTACTGAATGCCGCAGCAGTAAGAACTGTGGGGAAACAGTATGTACAAGATGCCCTGGTAGAGCATTCTGATTACCTGCGACGGAATTATCAGGTTCTTGCCCTGAGGAGAGATGTTAAAGTTCATCTTCAGGATGAGTGGCTGGTTCAGAGAGACCGATGTCATGATTCCGCTGCTTTGGCTGATCTTTTCAATTTGTTGGGGCAAAGGAAGAGATGTTTAACAAGGAAATGATTTGCACTCTTCAAATTAATATAGCCCACATCAACTGAGGTATGTTATACCAAGGGCGTTTATTCGATAGTCTTAAGTTTACAAGAAAGATATCCAAATTGCTCTTTCAGGAAGAGTCTGAATAGGAATGTGATTGGTCTAAATGCGCATGCTAAAAGATCAATGCTTAGGTGGGGTATCTGCGAGCTTCCATGAGTAGTTAGCTACAGCAGGATAGATCTCTGAGCCACAAACTTCATGAGCGGGAACAGCATCAGATATCTCTTTTACATCTTCTTCTGTAAGCTTAACAGCCAATGATCGAAGATTGTTCTCGAGGTTCTTCTTTTTACTTGTCCCTGAAAATACCAATGATGAGTATCAGTAGTCAGCTCTTGGTAACCCTGTGTGGGTGAATGTCGTGAAACAGTAGCAATGCGGTAAAAGCTGTAAAGACGTCTTGCATGATAATGCTAGTAATTAGCGAGTTGAATTTACTCGGATAATTGAATCTAGTGAAAGAGAATTCTTGTTCCGGAAACTCTTGTACCAGGGAGTGGGATTATGTCAGTTCCTTGATGTAGAAGCCATGCAAGTGCTAGTTCAGGAGGGGTGCACCCATGCTTTGTAGCCAAATTGGCAACTCGTGAATACAAGACCTTATTCTTCTCTATGCTATCAGTTGAAAACCTTGGATGATGCTCAGGCTGTCCCGCGAACATGGACATGGAGTCAGTTAGTTAGTTAGTTAGTTAGTTAGAAACTGATTGATCATGTAGACATTGCAGTTAAGGAACTACTTCTAGTTGCATCGCGTACCAGCACACTGTTTGCAGGCAAGCTTTCCACTATTGCTTTTCCAGCAAAGAATCCAACGCCAAGCGGACTATATGCAACTAATCCAATCCCAAGTTCTCTGTTGATAAAGAATAGAAAAAATGCATCGGTGATTATATGGCACAAACAACTATGCAAGGTGTGTGATATTTCTTTCATATCTGTAAGCCTGAGCAGAACAGTTATTGATTCAAATCTTCAACCTAATCTATATTGTTTCATTAATTAATTTACGCAATTGAAAATTTTATTATGTGAGCTTCTATTTTTTGTTTAATATATTACTTTGTATTTACAAGAATACAAATCTTAATGAAATAAGAATTGAATAGCCTCTGTGGAGCACAGACTTTAGAACTATTAAGTTAAACAAGACAGAATCATTATTATTTTTGCTTATAATGAAACATATATAGAAATTAAGTTTGTTTTTCAAGAATAGTTGGTGCTAATATTTCATAAAAACAAAGTTACTTGTGGCAACATCCCTTGCCACTAAGGGAAAAACAATAATTTATTTTTTGGTTAATTTATTAATGATAAATAATAGAAATTAGAAAAATAATTTAAACTTGAATTTTTTAATGATTTTTAGGCTGACGAGGCAATGACATGGCGTGTTGACTGTCCAAATTGACGGTCAAACCATGTGTCGGGCTAATTGAGTCTATATGTTACATAGTTGAGGCTAGGATATTAATTTATGAAACCACGAGTCAAAATTGATTATATTGTCATAGTTCAGATCAAAACAAGGTATTAACCCTAGTATATACTAGTTTGTAATGGACCCATTGTCAACTCACTATCCCGATCCACAATATCAAGCAATTTGCCATTAGAACCACCAACTTTACTATGAAATCACAATCAACCTAAAAATGTTGATCTAGCACAATTGACTTCACAATCCTTCCAGTTGGCATACGTGAGAATCCACTATCTCGGAAACAACGCACTGATCACTAAAAATCACTGATCACTTCGAATTTATGCTCAAATAGAATTGAAAATGTTTGATCAAGACTAAAAATCACATGTTCAAGTTGTTTTGTGGGAATTATTGATTATGCTCGATCGGAAGATGTGCATGTGGTAACTAATGGGTTAAGATCAGGTAACTAAGGGGTTTTTTAGTCACTTGTCTAAGTCGATCTCAACCCTCCAACCTCATTAAAATTTAATGGCTCCAATTAATTCAATTTAATAAAGGGTAATGTAGTAATTGCATGATTCATAATTATTTTATTTTTTAATAATTAAAACAGCTTCCGACACGTCTCGTTCTCCCCGCCCCGCTACAGCCGACTAGAATTTCCCGCGTCCTCCCAATCGTCGAGGATTTTCCGGCGGTGTGCATCTTTTTGGTGCGGCAGAGAGAGCCATTTTTGGTGTGTGTGTGAGAGAGATTTTTCGGCGACTGTTGGATTTGTGATGTTTGTTGACCTATTTTGTGATGTTTGTTGACCTATTCTGTAATGTTTGTATAGATTCAGTTTGTATTGTTTATCATTCTTGTTTTTAATTTGTAGTGACATTTTGTACGGTTAGTGTGTTTTGTATTGTTTGTCGGTTTATTTTGTAATGTTTGTACGCTTTGTTATTTTGTAACGTTTGTCGGTTTCTTTTGTAATGTTTGTAAGCTTTGTTATTTTTGTGCACCATGTTTGTAATGTTTTTTATGTCTAAAAAATAATCTGGTTGACTTTTGGATGGAACTCCTCTATATAGGGATGGAGCCTCCAAAGTCAACCTGGGTGTTTTTTTCAATTTGCATGGATTGTCGGTCTAGTTTGTCATTTTTGTCCACCGTGTTCGTAATGTTTGTATGTCGAAAAAACAACCGGGTTGACTTTGGGACAGAGCCCTCTATATAGGGATGGAGTCTCCAAAGTCAACCCAGTTGTTTTTTTCTTTTTTTGTATGGTTTGTATTGTTTGTCGGTCTAGTTTGTATTGTTTGTACAGTCCATACGTTTGTAATGTTTGTAAATCTGTTTGTATGTTTTGTCGGTTTAGTCTGTACTGTTTGTATGGTTGTATGATTTGTACGGATTGTAAGTCCGATTTGTATACTTCGTGATTTTTCATAATACTCAAACTACCCCTGTCATTAATTAAATACCTTTCCACTTTTTAACCGTCAGATTACTTTGTCCAGATCTCAGGACTGGGAGGGACTTAGTCAAGTGACTAATCATCCCCTAGTCACCGGATCATCTCTCCTAACTAATAATGCATCAAATTGTAGGGTTGATGGTACATGAGTACTATGGTAATATATATTTTGGACTCGTCACTCATACTCTTGATTTGATGTCAAAAGACACGGGAATGTCTCATGTTAGGAGTATTGCACATCGAGTTGCAAAGATATTTGTCTTTGTTTACAATCATGATACACCTTCAAATTAAATGTGACCTAATTTTCGATATCAATTAATTATCGTACCTAATTTAATCATTTTCCTCCCGAACCAGGGTGGGTCCCAGATCAATCACTGAGGCCTGATGCTTTCCAAAAAAAAAAAAAACTTCAAAGCATAACTAAGCACGAGGAAACGAGTCGCAGTGTTTAGAATAATAAAGCACCAATCAAATGACCAAGGACGTTATTGCCCATTCAATTTAGTTCCATTGTCTTCGTTTGCAAGAAAGATAACCAAATTGCTCTTTCATGAACAGTCGGAATAGAAAATACAAGTGCTGAAAGGCATTTCCTTCCTGAAAGATTATTGCTTAGATGGGGTATCTGCAAGCTTCCATACGTATTCAGCTACCACAGCATAGGTCTCCGCCCCACTGACTTCATCAATGGGAACAGCATCAGAAATTTCTTTTACATCTTCTTCAGTAAGCGTCAAGGCCAAAGATCCAAGGTTGTTGTCCAGATTTTTCACTTTAGTGGTACCTGCAAAGACCAGTAATGGGGATTCCTAGTCAGTTCCTTGTGAATCCTGCCTGAGTAAGTGCAATGAAGAAGTTAAAAGCTGCAAATACGTCTCGCAGGGGTAAGTCCAAAAACTGTGAGTTGGTTGTACTTGGAGAATCAAAATTCAAAACTATTAGAAGAGGAGGGCTGTTTTGACATGGCGATTTTGTACCAGGGAGTGGGATTATGTCATTTCCTTGATGTAGAAGCCATGCAAGTGCTAGTTGAGGAGGGGTGCACCCATGCTTTGTAGCCAGGTTGGCCACTCGTGTGTACAAGACCTTGTTCTTATGTACATTCTCAGCTGCAAACCTAGGATGATACACATGCTGTCCCAAGAGTATGAACATGGAGTTAGTTTGTTAGAGCTGAATTTATGTTTTAGATACTATGATGCTGCCTGGAACTACATGCAGAGCTGTAGGCACTCTCACTTACCGACTCACTGTCGTCAGGAAAGGTTTCAACAACTGCTTTTCCAGCAAAGAATCCAACGCCAAGCGGACTATAAGCAACTAATCCAATTCCAAGTTCTCTGTTAGACAAAAAAAGTAACAACAATCATTTCACCACGAATTTCCAGATGTTCTTTTGTGTTTTACGGAGTTAGCCTGAAGGAAGGATGTACCTGCAAAGAGGGATGATTTCTTGTTCAATGTCACGGGACCAAAGGGAATACTGCATTTGCAAGGCAGAGATGGGATGAATCGCATGGGCTCTCCTGATTGTGCCTGGACTGGGTTCGGACAGCCCTATGTATTTGATCTTTCCTTCATTCACAAGCTTCTTCAGCTCCTCCATCTGCCTCATAGATTGAAGAACTCATCAGATCGAGTCACTTCTTGCCATTCAACCAAAAAAACAAAGGTGCATGGATGAAGGTAGGTTTGCCAAGTCCATTACAGTGTCTTCTATGGGGACTGATTGATCTACACGGTGCTGATAGTACAGATCGATGCAGTCTACTCCAAGTCGGGCGAGGCTAGCTTCACAGCATTTTCGTACATACTCAGGCCTCCCATCGACTCTATACTCACCAGCCTCGGTTATGTAGAGTCCAAATTTAGTTGCCAGCTGAATCTCTTCTCGAGGGAACTGCTTCAGAGCCTGAAATCACCACCACAATAAATTAACTTTCTCTTATACTGAAACTGAAACACACTGTTTGAACATCATGGTATCTTTGTGGGTTGGTGTGAAGTGCCTTCTTTACCTTGCCAACCATGATTTCGCTTTCATGATCGTTGCCATAGAGATCGGATGTGTCAATGAAAGTGATACCTCTTTTGACAGCATGGGCAATCAGAGAGCAAGCTTCTTCGTGACTAAGAGGAGCACTCTTCGTTCCAGCAAGAGATGCGCATCCGAATCCTAGCCTTGACACCTGCAGACTCAGAAAGCAAATCTCATCATGATCAATCAAGCAAAACTGCTTGTGCAATAAGTTAAACTGCACTTTGATGTTGTTGTTTTTGCTCTGCATTTCTATAGCCTGCAAACTGGGCTTACCTCCAATCCCTGATTGCCGAGTTTGACTTTTGGAATTTGAGTCTGCTGTGGGTTCTCCATTCTGCAGAGAAAAGCAATAATAGTTTTGGAGTGACAATACTTAGATCAGTTCTCGATCTGTTGTTTTGTGAAGGGAACTACTGAGTAGCATTATAAGTACTAGTTAGCATGGTCTCGTGTTCCTTGTTCTGAATTTAAAAAGGGGGCCCGGTTCCTGTCATGGACCTCTTTGGAAGGATCAAATTCACCTGACAGTGAACATTTACTCGTCTTATTACAGATGAGGACGGCAGAATAAAGCACCCAAAAGCAGTTCAGATATACCTTGGACGGCAAAAGGAGGAAAATTCCAAGTGACTTACATCAAGACAACTCACAAAAACACAAGATTAATTAATTGGTTCAGACTCGGTCAACAAACTATTTACTGGAACATAGTTTGAAAGACATGTCTTGCCATAACGTTAGTTTCGAATCATGTAAAGTGCCGACTTACCCAAAAAAAAACTCCCACTGGGCAGGCTCTCCACAACTGCTTTTCCAGCAAATAATCCATCACCAAGAGAACTGTAACTCAGTATACCAATTCCAAGTTCACTATCAAATTTAAAAGAGAAGCTGAATAAGAAGAATGTTAAGGCAAAGAATTGGGAATTTCACTTACTCAATTCAACTAGACTCTTCCAACAAGTTCAAGGCCAGAACCGGAAGCATGAACACAAGTGAAATGACTAAGCTAGACGCGGATTGAGAACATATATACTGGCAGAGAGGATTTATCACTTGTTCAATCTCTCTGCTCCGTGATGAGTATTGCATATGTACTGCTGTAGTGGGATGAACAGCATGAGCATTCCTGGTCCTGTCAGGGCTTGCTTCGGACAGTCCAATGTACTTCACCTTCCCTTCATTCACAGCTTCTCCATCTCCTCCATCTAATCTCAAATCACAAAACAAATTACATACCGAGACAAAGTTCAGTGCTGCAACTAAGCCTTACAAGCAAAACAAGAAAGGGACCCTTAGGTGTTTCAAAACTTTACAGCATCCTCAATGGGAACAGAATTATCAATACGATGCTGGTTATAGAGATCATGTGTCCCCTCCAAGTCGGCCAAGGCTAGCTTCACAGCATTCACCCACATAGTCAGGACTACCCTTTACCTCAAACAGCTTATCTTCACCTACAATGATTCCGAATTTTGTTTCTAATTGAACTTGATCCCTGGGAAGCTCCTTTAGAGCCTGCCAAATGATACCAACAAACACAATCAATCTGATAGCTCAAAAATTTCATGTCAAGTAGATAAACTCAATCCATCAACATCTGAAGAAGAGCATTGGGTTCAGTTTCTTTTTTGACTACCTTCCCCATCATGATTTCATCATCATGATTACGTCCGTAGTCATCCGATGTATCCAAGGAGGTCACACCTTTATGGAAAGCGTTCTTCAGAAATTAACATCCGTCTTCGTGGGTAAGGGGATCGTTTAGCAACCCAGAAAGCCCGGCATATCCTAACCCTAGTCTGGGAACCTGAAAATACACGGAATTTTCAGGATATTCGACTTGACTGAAGTGAAACTCAAAAGCCAAGCTGCTAAACTTGCCAAAACTACAGGAGAGCTTTTCCAAACTCCCAAAAGCTTTTATGTGCCATGTTCAAAAAGACAAACTTACCTTTGAGGATATTAATTATTTAGTCAAAAATAATTAATTCCTTGTCCTCCAAGTCCCTTGTTTCCTTGTCTTTGTTAAAAAAGGAAACCTGGTTGTCATTAGGGTTTTAACCCTAAGTCTCTCTATATAAGCTTAGCTACGAGATTGTCGTAAGCAAGCCGTCACAATGTAGTCCCTAATAAAATATCAGTCGTGAGCTCGTTCCGAGCTCACCGTGAATTAGTCTCGATCAATCAATCGGTCGATGATACCACGTAAAATCCCTTGTCTCGTGTTCTTGTTATTCCGCATTATCAAATTCTACAACCTCCAATTCTTAACTGCCCAGTTTCACTTTCGAAATTCTTGCGCTTGGCGTATCGTTCTCCATGTCAGCGCTTAGAGCAGAGCTTCCTCGCTGTCGCTGTCCGCTAAAGTGGGAAGTGTAGAAATGGCGTTCAGGCTTAGCTGATTGCTGCAACCAAACGTCTTTTTGTTCGTCAACATCAACTGATCAAATTTGGTGGGACGCCGTCGTTTCAGGTTGAACGGAGAACTGGCTCAATCGTTTCGTCCGACTCGAGAAGAAAGAAACGGGAGGAATAGCGCATAGTTAGCCACTAGCCAGTAGCCAGGGAGACGGAAACGACACCGCTCCATAGCGGTTTTCTTTAATTTTCCTCTTTGGCTCTTCCTTCTGCAATTAATGAATTTTGGTTTCACCAGCTAAATAATTTACTTTCACAGTTTCACCAGATTTTTACCGTGGTTTCCTTGTTTTCCGTCGCAGTAAGTTCCCAACCAATCTAAAAACAACGGGAAATCCGATTTGCTCGCATCAATAAACCAGGCATAGACCGGGGAAGAAAAGAGAGAGAAACTAGAGAGAGAGAGAGAGGAAGAAATGGAGATGAAGCAGATCTACGTTCTGGCGGCTCTTTGGTTGAGCTTTGTCGGCCGAATCTCTTCCCTCTCCATCACCGTCAACGACGTCGAGTGCGTCTACGAGTATGTCTTCTACGAGGGAGACGCCATCTCCGGCAACTTCGTGGTCGTCGATCATGATATCTTCTGGGGCTCCGACCACCCTGGCATCGATTTCACTGTAATCCAATCCCCTTCCTTTCGTTCCAATTCCCTCCAATTTATGATCTCTGCGTTTTTTCCCAGTTTCATTTCTCTGTCATCTCTTTAAATTTGTATATGTTATTAGAAAATTTTGGCGAAATTGCAGATTAGGGTTCTGGTGAACATTTTCCCTATACTCAATGAAGATTAAATCGCCAGTTGTTTCTTCCTTATTGTAATCCGCTAGGAACGTAGCTTGAACTTCACTGTTGAATATGTTTCATCTTCGGAATAGGGCTGTTAGACTCTCAATTCCGGATTGACTAAACCCTAAATGTTGATATCTTGTTACATTTGGCTCCGTAGCTTAACGGTGTTATGGTTCCCTCATTTCTCTGGCCTGCAACAAATAAAGCGTGATTGTTCAAAACAGCTATTAGAGCAGGCACCTGTTGTATACTTTCTTCCCTATTCATATTTATATATTGAAAAATTGGATTTTTTCCCCCCGTATAGGTCTCCTCACCTGGAGGAAACGTTGTGCACAACATAAAGGGGACGTCTGGGGATAAGTTTGAGTTGAAGGCGCCAAGAAGCGGGATGTACAAGTTCTGTTTTCACAATCCCTACTCCACGCCAGAGACCGTGTCATTCTACATTCATGTGGGTCACATTCCCAATGAGCACGATGTTGCAAAAGATGGTTGGTTGAATCTCTCTCTTCTGTTAATCATGAGTGTCTGTGATCTGGGTTTTGTAAGGCACTCTTTGTGGTGATCCTTTGCTTGTTAACTTAAACTGGTTATGGTCTTATGGAGCCTAACGGCCATGATTATGTGATTGCTTCTGTGTTGAGATAAGTATATTGATAATATGTTATAGGCTCATTCATATACCACGGCTTGTGACTTGCAGAGCATTTGGACCCAATTAATGTGAAAATTGCCGAGCTGAGAGAGGCGCTGGAATCTGTTACAGCAGAGCAGAAGTACCTAAGGGCACGAGACAATAGACATCGGCACAGTAAGCTGCTCCGTTCCTCTTGTTTTCTCGAATTCTATAAACTCCATAATACCCTAGTACATGACGAAACTTTGAATTTTTTCAATATGTGATGTTTATGAATGTACTATGCTGGTATAGTTCCAACCAGAAAGAAGGAATCCCTGATGGGCTTCTGTTCTTGTTAAACTCTAACTCGTTAATGGTTCACGTTTTCGCTGTTGCTAATCGAGTATATAGCTGCTATAGAAGCTGTAATTTGATTTACAATTTGTTGCCAGTAGCTCTGTTTATGTAACTTAGCTTGCTCTGTTTCTTCTGCAGCAAATGAGAGCACAAGAAAGCGTGTTATTGGATACACCGTTGGAGAATACCTTTTGCTGGCTGCCGTGAGCTCACTTCAGGTTTTATATATCCGCCGCCTCTTCAGCAAGTCGGTGGCGTACAATCGTGTTTAAGTGAGGGATCAGTCGATCTAAGTTATTGTCCATTAAGTAATGAGTTAATAGAGGAAACTAGTAGATGAACCTAGAAAAATGTATGCTTTATACAAAAAGAAACCCAGCTGGGTCTTTTTTGAACTGTTACAGTTTTTGCATCCTAATGACAAAGCTCTTTCCAGGACACGCATGTTTAACCTAGTATAATCAACTACACTTTGATGCATGTTCAAGCTTCAAAAAGAATTTCCAGTTCCCTGTAACTTCTGTGGAGAACTGTGTTTCAGTGTCTTGGGAATGTCCGTCTGCCAGTTGAGGTGTAGGCCCCCGCTCCATCTTCTCCATGGTTGATATGCTCAAACATCAATCTGGAATTTGAAACCGTTGTTGTGTAAACCGAGGAAGAAAAGGAAAGATGGCTCTCGGGGGATTTGAGTCTGGGCCATTCATAACCCGACTCTTTGGAGGACATTGTGGAAGTAACGCTCATGCTTAGCTCAAGGTTGTTGGACAGTCATGTAGTACGAGGCTACGACTGCAGAACTGTTATGAACGCAGAGGGGACAGGGTTGACGCGGCAAGAAACTCTTATGAACTCTGGCAGATTAGGTTTACGAGCTTAATATGTGCAGTTGATCTGATCAGTCGACATTCATACACTCAACAAACACGAAACAAATGATCCTGATTGCCCAGAAATATCGATTTAGCCTGTCCTCAAAACTTTGTGAAAAACTACTTCATAAACCAATTTGATCGAAGAGAACAAAGATCCAACTTCGTAATTAAGGCATATCGAGGCACATGAATGAATAAGAGAGCGAGCCAATTTCCATTCATAAACGGGTCTTCAAAGAGACCGTAGTAAACGAAAGACACGTCCAGAGATGTAGCATTTTACTTGCTACATGCGAATGGTGAATCAGACCATCCTCGAGCTAGCATGAATGGGTGAAAAACTACATAAGCTCGTCAGCCAATACTTCTGATTCAAGACAAGATGATTACTGTATCAACATATATATTCATATATAAACCTACCAACGACTTGGAAGGGAGAATTTCAAGCCTCTTTGTAACAAAAGTCTCACATAACCGATCAGTCCAGCCCCCAAAATAAGATGCTTGTCCTACACACTGGTTTTAAAGGTTGTCTTTGAAACTAAGATGGATCTAACATAAGTCGGAAGGAAGCAGTTGGGAGTTTGATCCACGATAGATACATCAGTTGTAGGGTAGGAATGACCTGGATCATGTCTCACTTAGGGTTCCTGAGCACAATGATGACCGAATCACCACGCAGAAACATTTTACTGATGAACCTGTCTTTGTTCACTGGCTGTGCCTTCTTCTTGCCCTTCCCTGTTTTCGGCACCTGGTGTGATTTAAAGGATGCAGCAGAGATGAAATTATTACTTTATAATAGCAGTCTTAATTGGGAGAACACTGATTATATATAACATTGTATCGTTAGACAAAACCACAGCCAACCAACCTCAGTCCACATCTCCCTGACGTTTTCCAAGACCATGTTGCAGTGACGGTCAAATGCCCTCACACGCCCAAGAAGCTTCTTGTTGTTCCTGCAGTTTATCAGCACCTGTGCACGCATCCCAAACAACAATTAAGATACGAATGCCAGTAGTCAAGAGCACAAGAAAACAAAAGAAAAGTTTTAACTCAATCTAACTAATGCACACATCCAAGCAATCAGTAAAGTAAACTCATCCCAACAACCATTGTCTCTTGAGACAGAACTCTAAAGTATCTATGTATTTAGATAGTTGCTTGCAACAGAAGAGGTCATTTAAGTCAAAAGCCAGGATATTAACAAGAATCTACCTGGGTGTTATTCTTCACACTCATCATAAGAACAGAAAGTGGACCAGTGCTGAATTCTTCCTCCTTGCTCTGCGCAAAAAAGGAACCGAAGATGAGAACAAATAAAATTCATGGTCCAATGATAATTGCAAGGGTATCACACAGTTCTACACCAAAGTCCACATTTTAGTGTCAAGCAAACAATTTGTTCGTACGCAACATGTGATAAAATAGACCTTTGCAGAAGCCTAAACAATAAGCAACCAGACACTGCAGCAGGAACTGTAATAATCATCAAGCAATAGCTGTTGCCCCTGAATGAACACATTGACTCTTGGCATGTCAGATCACAATGGGAAAAATTCATCCTAGAGACATGCTATGAAAGTACAGTCACAATTCGTAAAACAGTACCGTGTCTTATTGTTTCCTTCACTGAATTTCTCAGATTCAATTGTATAATTACTTGGGAGTTGATATATGTAAAACACTAATTTCTGCCACGCTTCTACAGCTATAAAAAAACTACCATATTCCCTCCCGCCACAACAGTTAAGAGACAAATGGCCTGCTACATCTAATCACAATGGGCTAGAAAGGACATCTTCACCCTCTTCCTAGCACAAGTACAAAGTTCATATGCCACTCACGTGATCATAAAATGAGAGAGGTGTTACTAATCTAAGCCTACTAGGTATTAGTACACAACTAAGCATCCGCCCGATGAACAAAATTGCATTGTTGCGTGAAGTACTTTGAAATCACTGTCAGCTAATGACGGTTAACGAAATTGTCAACAAAAACCAAACTTAATTTACTGCCAATAGCTGGAAGGCCTTAGCCTAATTCCTCATAATAATATAGTAAAAAGATCAGTCATGAAGCAAAAAAGTATGCAAAAATCATCTCTAGCAGGAAAAACATAGATTTTGATGCAATGTACGACGTGAATTCGACAACACAGCATTAGGAGGACCATGACTTAAAAAAATGACAATAACTTAACAAGGCAGCCAGAACTTACTGGAGCATCCTCTTCCATTGGCCGGCTGCAAAAAGACAACCAAACAAGAGGAGAAAACTGTTAGCATACTGATCTATACAACTGTGCGGCAAATAACCGAAAGGGAGAACTGAAACTAACACAAGACTGACTAACTTAGTAAGTAACAGTGTCACCAACTAACCCCAGAGGACAAATTAAGCTGCAGATTCATTCAACCAGTCACATCATAAACTTCTACTTGCGATTATTAAGATTATCGAAGCTGGGGGATAGAAGTTAAAGTTCAATCAGCCACCCAAGCAGACAAATCTCAAACATCATAAAGTGTATCCACATTGCTAGGGTTTCGAGTGGAGAATTGGAGGGCGCCAATGGACCACTGGCAAGCTCTCCACATAAACTAGAAAAGAGCATGGGGAAGCTCGAAATTTACCTCATGGTTGGTTCAGTTTCTTCCTCGCGCGGTCCCAGAAACCTGCGAATTGGAAGCAACAGATACGGAGCTAGGGTTTAGCGGGAGGTTTTGAGTTCGTGGCCTGGTTGTAGGTACAGAGTACAGACACAACACAGATCGATTTCCGCGTACGGGGAAGCGAAAGGTGCCGCTTCCGCAACTTTTAATTTGGGTTCCCGATTTTTTCCTCTTCCTTTTCGTCTGAGCTGTCTGGGGAAGCCTGTTAGACCGAATTATGGGCCTCAATAATACTCGGCCCAGCATTGCATTGTTATTTATTAGCCCATGGCTAAATATGGTGTCAGGGCCCCATTAATCAATTCATTCTCTATTCACTTTTTAATCTTCAATAGTTTTTTAAACAATATATTAGCTAGAACTATTAAGTAGCTAGAAATTATAACTACAACTATCGAAATACAAATTATTAGTAATAACTACTGTTACGAGTCAAGATATAGCTAACAGTTCGTTATCGTTATTAAATTTTTAACGGAGACTGCCACATCTGCATTCATATTAGCGTCTATGTCATAAAATATTAAAATAATAATAATTTATTTAAGTAATCATTATTATTATCATAAAAAAAATAGAAAATCTCCTCTCACACAGGTCTTCTTCCTCCTCCCTCCCATCGTTCTTCTTCCTCTACTGCATCACTCCACTGCCACCGTAATTGCTCTGGTTGCCCAAAATGGGAAGAACTCCCCACAACGACGGCGCACCCAACGAAGAGATGTGGAAGACCTGCGGCATTCCACCCCTGCCACATTCTTCCTTGCTGCTAGGGAACAACTGTAATTGCGTCCCCCACTGCGTCACCGTCACCACCACCGCTAACCCTAATCGAGAAATTGATGATTCCGTTCTTAGGACACTCAATCAATTCCTTCAATCAAAGAATTTATAACACGTGATCGCTAATTCTTGATATTTTTTTTTTTGGTCAAAAGATATCATATATTGATCCAAAAGATAGTTACACTCTGGAAACCAGCCAGGTCTGAAAATCAAAGAAGCGACTCATAGTCGGATACAAAGAGAGGGCTTTCCTAGCTACCAAATGAGCTACCCTATTATTTTCCCGACCTACAAAACGCACACTAAAACCAGGCTGGGTGCGAAAATAATGACCAATCTCTTCCAGAACAGCACCCAACCGGCTATCTCTTGTGTCAGCTTGATTAATTTTGTCAATAATCACCTTCGCATCGCCCTCAAACTGGACCTCCGACAAGCCACACTCCACACACCAAATAATAGCTTTCCTAAGCACAAGCAATTCCACCACTGTAGGCTCATCCATTTGAGGAAAATGAATCTCTCTATCCAGAAGGAGTGTCCGCGCTGGGTCAAAAAGAACCATCCCACCGGCCGAATGCGACCCACCCTTAGTAGCCCCATCCCACATGCAAACGAATGGGAATCACCCACTTGCGTTGTTGGTTGCATCAACGGGATCGTCACCTTAGGAGCCTAGTCCGCTGGCAGGCCCACCCATTCCTCATACTGTTGGTTAAATTGTCGCATGAGCGTCGGGATCCCAAACTGTTTGCATTCAAAGACTACCCAATTACGAGACCGCCAGATCCTCCAAAGGATGGCAACAACAGCCATAACCAATGATGGTTGATGGATCAGCGCCAACAAACGTTTGAGAAACAAAGGAAAAGTGTGCCGAGGCAAACCCTCCTCCAAGTAATCCAGCCCTGAATAGTCCCAGAGAGACCGTGCAACCGGACAATAAAGGAACATGTACTGCTCCATCGTCTCCGGGCCATCCCAACAAACTGGACACCGAGGTAGCACGGGGACCTTTTTCTCAATAAGCGCCTCCGTAGTCGGAAGAGCCCGATTAAGAATTTGCCAAACAAAGACCTTCAACTTTCGGGGAGATTTTAGCCTCCCACACTCTAATCCAACTCGACTTATCCATCCAACTAACCGAGGATCGCCACCCACCCCTCCTCCTGTCCAAATCAACAGCTAAATGGTAAGCCGACTTTACCGAGAAAACCCCGTTAGCCGTGTAATGCTAGATAAGCTTATCAGTCACATCCCGTTTCGGGAGAGGAATAGCCTTAATGGCCCTGCAGATGTGCGGGTCAAATCATTGACTGAGGTTCTCATCAGACCACCTCCCTCCCCCCTCACAAATAACCTCCGCCACCAAGGGATCACCCCCCCCCCCCCCTCAGGCAAGATCCACGGATTATAGCATAGGGGATCAAGTTAGTACCCAGGAATCCAGTTAGAATGAAGGAGGGAGGCCGATTGGCCATTACTGACCTGTCATCTTAAACCTATCTCCAATAACTGACTCCCATGAAGGATACTCTGGCACCCCCAAGAGGGACAGAGACCTAGCAGTCGCGGCCAGGAAAGACCCTTGAGGGAAATACTTTCCTTTATAAACCTGGGGAATGAGTGATTGAGGTTCATTGAGAATACGCCAGTCTATCTTAGCCAAAAGAGTTTGGTTGAAATGTTCAAACTGGCGAAATCTCATCCCTCATCATGCTTACTCCTGCACAGATTTCGCCAGGACACCCATCTAATCTTGGGATTACCCTCCTCAGCACAATTCGAAGAATTTACAAGATTTCTCCAACAACTAATAAGAAGAGAATCTCTAAGTACCAATTTAAATTTGGGTCTGATTCACCGACACCAATTGATCTGGACAGCCCATTTAAGAGATTAAATGGATAAGGTTGAACTTTTTTTTTGTATTACGATAAGGTTGAACTTAACTCCAACACAAAACGTGATAGCCTAGTTGGGGAAACTTTAGATCATTTTATTATTTCAAGAATAAATTTAAATCCTTAGCTAGTAGCTAATGAAGTAATAATTGATTATTAAAATGCACATTGGTCATTGGACGGTTGCCTCATGCCTGGCAGCAGATGTTGCACTACCACCCACCGTCCATTGCGTTGACTAGGCAATCAATTATGAAAGCATCTCTCGCCAATTAATCATCGTGCACGCGAATCAAGACAAATTTTATTGCTGCCCTTTTCCTAATAATCTTCAAGCTGACCATTATATTAATTATTAATCACAATCCAATCCACAGACCTCTTAAACAAGACATACGTAAAGCTCCTTTTTATTGTTAGTTTTCGTAATTGCAAATTTGCAATCTGTAAGCTAAGCATCGATTAGACAAAACAGGACATTAATTTGCTAAGTTTGAAAAAGAAATTGTGAGAAAAATCCAAAACAAATCCGATTTACTAGACACCTTATTTAACTAACCACGACTGCTCCTCTCTTTTCCTTCCCTTCCCTTCCCTTCTCTTCTCTCCACAAATCTTCGTTTGCTCTCTGGTGCGATTTTCAGACAAACAAAGCAGTGCACGCATTTCTGGCCCCGAATCCAAATGTTGGCTGTGTTCGATAAGAACGTCGCCAAGTGCCCGGCGGAGCTCCAGAGCCCTGCCGCCGGGAGTGCCGCCTCCGCTCTCAAAGATGGGTTCATGGCCAAGCATTTCGAGTCCCTTCACCCCGGTTCCGTCATCGTCAATCTCGGATCTTCTGGGTTGATCGCCTACTCTCTTGCCAAGCAGAACCCTCTCGTCCCTAGGTGAGTAAATTGATATTCCATTATTCAATCTTCTCCATTCCTAGTTTTATTACTCTTGTCCTGTTTTAAACGACCACTTTTTTAGTGATCTACCTCTTCTGTGCTGATCTGATATGGTTTTTTTGAACTGATTGATTAGATGGTTGGATTGATTGGATTGGATAGGATGAGATTAGGGATGGTTCCATTAATATGTGATGAGCTAGAGATTTGTCAATGGGGTGGGTGATGCAAGTAGATCTTCCTGTTCTCGTTTTTTGCCAATGTGAGTCATTGTTATACATTTGGAAAGTGTGGATAATGTCTGTGTCTTCCCTTTTGGCTTTTCAGGATGTAAAAGTGTAAATGATCTGTGTTCAGTATTCTTGTTCTGATGTATTGGATAAGGCTTCCTATCGACCTTTCCTGATTAATTAGGTTCCTCAGCTAGATGTTTCGACTTTCGTCCATGTAGTCAGTGCATTAATTGATTTCGTTGTAGGATTCGGATTTTTCGTAATCTAGGGTTTCTTTCTAGGCCACTCAAAGATCAAAACGTATATATTTTACACATGATGTGTGTGTTCATGTATGTTGCTTACTTAACGAAACTCGGTTGGTTCGTTGATAAGTTGTATATTGTTCTGGTGATAGGTTATTCGCGGTGGTGGATGACATTTTCTGCCTGTTCCAAGGCCACATTGAGAATGTAGCCGTCCTGAAGCAACAGTATGGGCTAAACAAAGCTGCAAACGAGGTTATCATCGTCATTGAAGCTTACAGGACTCTCAGAGACCGTGGGCCGTACCCTCCCGATCAAGTCATCAGAGACATCCAGGGCAAGTTTGCTTTCGTGCTCTACGACAGCGCTGCCAAAGCCACGATGTTCGCTTCTGTGAGTCACAATCACATAGAATCCTCTACTTATATACGTAGTTGATTTTGAGACCTTCTATCATGCCATGGAGCTTGAAACCAACCATGTTGTGCAGGATGCTGATGGAAGTGTACCCTTCTTCTGGGGAACTGATTCTGATGGCCATCTTGTTCTTTCTGACGACACCGAAGTTGTGCAGAAGGTTTGTGGTAAATCTTTTGCGCCATTCCCCAAAGGTAATCGCTGATTTTGAGATCCCTTCAGAATGTGTCTCTATATACAGGAATGAAGGTGGTTTGGTAATGATGAAGTCTCACTATCCTGCTGCTGTTTCTTCATTCCTGTTCTCCATCTCAGGATGCTTCTTTACCACTTCTGGAGGGTTGAGGAGCTTCGAGCACCCGCTGAACGAGTTGAAGCCAATCCCAAGAATCGACAGCTCAGGCCAGGTCTGCGGGTCGAACTTCAAGGTGGATGCCGATGCTAAGAAGGAGAGCAGTGGCATGCCCAGAGTCGGAAGCTCGTACAACTGGTCCGAGCACTACTGAGCACCAGCCGCCGAGTTATAAACCCCCCCAATCGGCGAGGCTTTTCTTATTAACAGGCCTTCTTCCCCCATTGGCTTTGACAACTATCATCTTGTTTGAATTTTTTGCTTTGTTCTAAGATGTTGCAACCTTTGTACTACTGGTATTTAGTATCTGGAGAGCTGCTGTACATGTTGCTCAGTATCGAAACTCGACAAAAGGGGGATTCCTGCTCCTGCTGAATGAATATATCATCATGAAATAAGAATGTATTTCCCTGTACATGGGATTTGCCAACTACAGTCTTGTTCGAGCGTAAGTAACGACCATGACGACATAAGTTCTTCGTTTCACAATGGTTCCTGGATTACATATTTAATAGACCAATTCCTATCGAGATAACTGTAACAGATTAAACAAGTGAGCTGCTAGCTTAATCCTGGGGATCTTGACGCTTCCACTGGAACTAAAAAGGAATAGAGGAACAAACGTTCTACTAGTCTTTTTGCTTACTCAAGATGGCGAAGCAGCAAATCTGGTTGGTTTAGTCCTTCGCATCTGCAATGCCTCCTGGTGTTATCTGAAAGACGTGTTTCTGTCAAGGAGAACAGCAGTCCATAATAACGGGGGTTTGCTTCTCCAGGGTTTTATAAAGTAAGGACTCGAGAGAAGCAGAGTGATGATAAACAAATGAAAGGATATTGCTTCAGCCTCGGGAAGATTGGGGGCGTCAAACACCTTGCAGACACGTTGCTCGCCTTTGCCTTTCCTGAACATCAGCCTGATTGTGGCAGCATGTGCTAGCACGTGCCCTCCTGCCGGTTTCTTGGGGTCTGATATGAATACTCCACCGCCAGGGTCAGCAATCACTGCAACCACAAACAGATCAATAAGCAAAGAGGTTTGTATGGGCATACCCTCTATCCCTTTGGGATTTGTATATATGGCTTCAGGCTTTGCAAAGGCCGTTAAATGGACAAATGGTTTAGCTAGCAAGTTACCTTGGTTGGTCATGTAGACAGCGACGTTGAATTCCTCAGCTATCTTGGTCATTCTGGATAGCATCTGTGCCAGCTTTTGCTGTAGATAAAAAGTTCTTGATACAGTCAATTACTGTTGCCAACCATACAGCTATGGTCTCGTATTAATGTGCAAACGAGGTCATATGAAGTGGAGGCACGATGGATTCACCTGTCGATCAGCAAGTTCCCCTCTGCCAGTGAAATCCACTCGGAAAAGAGCAATCACAGAGTCCACAACCTGAATTGAATACACAGGGACGAACAAAGTGAATTCGGTGGCTTTAACAGGAAGAAAGAGTCAAGTCAGTCTGTCCGCTTAGATAGATGGGTAAGTCAACTAGCTAAACGTACCAAAAGTCTGAATGGTTCTTCAGACATTTTTGCTGCCAGACCAAGGAGCAGATTGTACTGGTGCTCATAAGTGTATGCCCGAGCATAAATGATCTTCAAAATCAAAAGATAATTTAAGTGAGAAAAACCTGTGATATGCTTAATTTACTAATCCAATCGGTTCTGATAAGGACACTATTTTCTTTTACATTATCAAGCACTGCTCCTGGATCCATGCCAAATCTTTCCGCAATTGGAACAATTCTATCAGGGCGGCTGCAATAATTCAAAGTTAAGGAAGAAACATGCGACAGCACACTGTATGAGACATCTTCCATCAATTTTTACTGTGAAAAGAGGCAACGAAACGATCAAGGATACAATGTCCCTTCAGTATCTATGTAAGCAACTTTGCCATTCCCTCCATTCATGTTGGTGGGTAGCTGCAGAAACAAACAGCAGTGGTCAGTAACGCTTTGGTATGTAAGACTCAAGAGGCTTCTAGATCAATCCAAGGCAAATAGGGAAACAATTTCATGGAGGAGTTTTCAGGTGAAGGAATAAAGGCACATAGCATTCTGTCTATCAAAAGACCAAATGCTATCATTGGATCCATTTGTAGAAATTGTTGTTTAATATGTAAAAATGGATGAAAACTATACAGGGGCATGCCATTTTTATATTACAATAGCCTCTTAGCAGATCATTTTTCAGACAACTTCTACTGCAGCATGCTCAAGGAAGTAGGTTTGGAGAGTAACCTGAGTGGACACACAGAGTGTATGTGCAAGCTGCGTCTTCCCAGACCTGAAGGCATTTCGGTGATCAGTCCTTAGGTATGTACTTCACTGTTTAATAATTACCAGACAGCAGGATAAAACTTAAGTACCAGCAATACTATTCTTTTCCTACCTGAACTCTCCAAAGGCTTCTGTGATACACGAAGTTTCCACACCACCTAAAGAGACCAACAAACCAATTAGCATTAGTTACTTGGTGGAGCACAAGCTGGATTAACTACGATCCAGTGAAGTAGAACAAACATTCATAGCTCTGAGGCAATACGAAGTCAAAATAAAACCCTCACCTCCCAGCAGTTCATCTAGTGCTTGGCTTCCAGTTGTGATGCGGATAACTGCCTTACGCTACAAGAAGGAAGGGGAAAAAACACAGTCGAGGTTTAGATACGTGACGATTCATGAATCACAAACAAACGTTGAAGAACAATGTCATATGCTGATCCATTCAACCATACATGATCTTCTTTATGATCAAGCTAACAAGATAGGTTTGAACTTACTTTGAGTAGAGCGTCACTGCCAGTCATGTAACCAAAATTCTGGAAAACAGAAGCACGGTGATTTTGCGTTAGATAGTAAAAAAGTCCTTTCAATATTTATCCGGACTAAGAGATCGTTGCTGCAGGCAGTACTAACCACTATCTTTTCTGCAGCTTCACATATCTTATCAACCTTAGCCTCAGACAAGCCCTTGATCCCGGTCAAGTGCTGCCAGCCAAACAGGAGTAATTATACTGATGATCGATGACATTGCGCAAACTAAAACTGTCAAATAGACTCGTTCTTTTAACTGTACCTTCTTTGTATGCATCATAAGGCCATTGCAGGTGTAGATCCCTGCATCTTGCAGCTTCTTCACATCTCCAGAATTGATTCCTTGAGATATCACTGCAAAAACAGCGCGCAATCCTTAGTAAACAGAAAGGACGTGAAGTTGAAACCACAGAGAGGAAATGTCAGGAAAACTTAAGCGATCAGTAGCAAACAAGTAACAGAGATCACAAAATCTAAAACACGCTAGCTATGCCACAATAAACGGAGCAGCAGTTCAGTTCATCGAGGGAGACCTAACTGCTCTAAAGAGCAGCGAGGATTTCTCGTAAAAGCTCGACGATCTAGCTAATTAACAACACGAGATCTGAGAAGATGAAGCCATAGAGAAAGCTAACACATCTTCGTTCAAAATTACCTGAACGGACGAAAACAAGCCATATCAGCAGAAACACTCGCCCGTAATCGACAGGAAACACGAAAGAGAACTCGCTCTGTACAGCCTAGCCTAGATGCTGTCAAGTTATCCCGAATTTTCAATACCAGATCAATCTCAACCTTAACCAAACAGCTAAAACTGAACAATAACGATCAGATCTCCGGATGCAACAGAAACTAATCACTGAGGAAATATGACAAACACGTAGAGAGCAATTCTGCAAACAGGTGAGAGACTATACGCACGCTTATCGATCGCTTCGAACAGTTCCTCTTCGTCGTCAATTTCCTCTCGCTCAACCAACTGCAACTGGTTCATCTCTTCGGCTCTACAGAAACCGCACGAGGAAATGAGCACGAAGCGGATAGTTCAAATCTTGCCGGAAAAATAATGAATATCAAACAAACAGAGACGGAGAGAAGCGTAGAACTTACTTCAGACTGGCGATCATCTTCACGATCTCTAGCGAGCAGAATTCCAAGCGCTTGTTTCCGCTTCTCTAAGCTTTCTGAAGCACTCTTGATAGTCTGAGACAGAGAGTGACAGAGGCTCAGAGCATTCGAAATTCTCTGGAAGAACCGAAAATTTGAATATGATATTATGAGCCGCTTGGAGGAGGCTCGACTTGCGTGATCTTTTAAAGGCGGGAAAGTAGAATTCAAGGGTCCCCTTGAGTTGAAAGTTTACACGTGGCGGGGAGTCCTGGCTGCACCTGCTCTGCGATTATTTTCTGCGTAGGGCCCGCTTGAGCCAGCCTCAACGATCTTGCCATGTGGATAACGATCTCCTCCGGCTTCGTGAATTGCGAATACACTAGTGGGCCTTTCAATTTTCGCCAACCCAGCAGCACTCCCAGTCCCAGGTTCCGTAGATCCGGGCCATGGGCCGGGGAGGGAATTTTAAAAAACTCAAAGTGGATAGATATGGTTGTGCAACTAGTATGGTTCAACCTCGTTCAAACTCATGAGAATTGTGGTTTAATAAAATGCCAGTGGAGTAGTAGGGTATGGCGATCCTCACTTTTCATATCATTATTTGAAATGGAACCTAGTCTATCAGCAAGAAGCTGGCTTTGTGAGGTGATGTAGAAAGTGGAAGGTGAATACTAGGAAAGCTAGCTATGATTCTATGGTCGTTATGGAATGAGAGAAACAATCATATGTTCAATAGCAGAAAATCCGAAAAATGGGAAAATGTGGGTAAAGCAATAGACTACTGGGAGAAATTCAATTCACACCACACTTAAGAGAAACAAGAACTACAAGAGGAGCTACAAGTTACATGGGAGATGCCGAAAGTGGGATGGGTGAAGATCAATATGGACGCTGCAATGATTAACGGGGAAGGAACATGTCTGAGTATGGTGGCTCGCGATGAAATGGGAAAATTCTTGATCGCGCGGTGAAGAGGGAACACATTCAGTGGTCGCCAGAGCTGTAGGCGTTGAGTTTTGGCCTGGAAATGGCAAAAATGCATGGGCTCCACCCAGCAGTCATCGCAACAGATTGCCAACAGACGGTCCTCAAACTCCAGAGGACGGATGTCTCACAATTGGAAGTTGGGAGGATCGTTGCTGAGCTGCAGGATGATGTTGATCGGATCAGGGGAATATGTTGGTGCTTTGCAAAGCGCATCTTTAATTGGGCTGCACACACAATGACTCATACAATCTGTCAATGGGAGGCCCAATAGTCTTGAGTTCTCAGACCCCCTGTATTCTTGCTAGACATTTTGGTTAAAGACTCTGCGGTCCATTAAATAAAATACATGTGTGATTAAAAAAAAAAGTATACATCTTACGGCCAAGGATAGGACTATTCATGCATTCTGTTTCAATTTGGTTTGGTCTAGATGTCAATTCGGCCTATAACTTTAATATTTCACGGAACCAGTGACCGAAATGCATTATATTCGGGTTGGTATGGTCGGTTCAAACATTGATATGATCTTGTATGCTCAGGTATACAAACCAAACCGTTGCACACCCCTATGCATAAGCACGTACTTGTGGTGTTTTAGCAGAGAGCTACATAACGACTTGTGTGATCATTTATGGTGACATATCAATAGTTGTTAGCACTACTCACAACATGCCTCGATGTTTTAAATTTTTGTATGATGATGTATGGGTCTTGAAAAGTAAATTAAAGGGTGGCTAAACGTTGTATTGAAAATTTCTAATTGTCAAAACATCAAAGTTACTCTCTTATCCTTTTGTCTTTCCTTCTATAATTTTCACCAAACAAACAAAACACTGAAAAGACAATTCTAATAAGCGTTCAAATAAATTCATTACAATGTAAATTTTTTCTAAAAATGATTTAATAAGAAATATAATTTTTTTTTTGGCACAATTTGGAGTTGACCAGTGGTCAAATGAAGTCAAACTTTTGATCCATCATTGGTCAAACCACATTCAAACCTTTGGTCCATCGCTGGTCAAACCATAGTCAAAATGTTGGTTGACAATTAGTCAAACCACAATCAAACATTTGGTTGATCGATGGTCAACCACATTAAGACTTTTGGTTCATTGTTGGTCAAACTTTTGGTTGACCGTTGGTCAAAACGTAGTCCATCACAAATTAAACCTTTGGTTAACCTTCGTTTTGACTTCGGTTGATTGTAAGCCAATTTGATTTTTTGTTATGGCCCAAGATCAACCGAAGTCAAACCGTCATTTTGACCAAGGCCCAAACGAAAATCATTTTTCGTTCTCACTTCCTCATGCGTTTAAAGACAGAGAGGCAAATCAGGAAGGACGATCGAGTCTTCTCTAATGGACAAAGAGGCTGCGGGGGTTTGCAGGTTGAAGTGGCGGTGCAAGGCTTGATTCCTTATTTTGGTGGCATTGTCGATAGCTCGGTGTCACTCTATTTGGATTCTCTGATGTCGGGTACCGAGATATGATGGTTGAGAAGAAGAACAACAATACCTTACCCCCAAATTGAGGCGGACCAAGGTCGCCAACTTTTCTTCTCTGTTTTTGTAGTGCGAAAAGGCACAGAACTGGGGCCCTGTTATTGGGATTCCTCGTCGGTTTCAGATAAAACATTGGTTTAAGATGATGGCAGAACTAGGGCTGTCCATTTGGATAACCAAAACCAAACCAAACCATTAGCATGAAAACCAAAAACCTAATTAGGCATATTCACAAAAATCAAAACCAAAACCATTAAGTGGCTTACCGATTTTTGGATAACCATAAACCGATAAGCTCCTAATGATTTCGATAAATCAAAAACCAAAAACACGGTTGACTTCAAAGAAATCAGGGGTCCTTCAAGAAAACAGGGGTCTTTATCGGTTTATTGGATTTTTATTGGTTTTTTGGTTTTAACCGAAACCAAAACCATTCATATGCTAAATGGTTTAAAACCGAAAACCAAAACCATTAATTTTTTAATGGTTTGGTTTCGGTTAAAATCGAAAAACCAAAATCAAATTGACAGCCCTAAGCAGAACAGTCAAAGGGAGTCAAGGGTTTGAACTAGTTTGACCCCAGGCTCTACCCTAAGCGAGGTCGTGATCTGGAGTTGTTGGGGAGAACCAAATAAGCACTACTTATCATCACACACAAAAATACGTGATCTCGTCAAACGTGCATGAGAAAAGATACAAATAACATATATGTTTGTAGTCTCGTCAAACATATGAGAAATCATATTGTTTCCTCGGAAAAACCAAATGCCACCATCGGTGCCGAATTCGTTTCCGGCGATGTTGATTCGATATTTCGCGATGGAAACTCTTGCGGTGCCGTTGATCGAATACACCGCTGATAGCTGAAATCGAGACGACCGTCAAATATCCGCCGCCGAATGTCGGCTTCGTTGATTTGATCGGTGCAACTCTGACTTCTAACCAAGAACGACCGTTACTACGGTTCGCACCTCTCCAAACTACGTTCGAACGAGGGTGTTTGAGTTTTGAGGAATCTACGTTACCGCTACTCCCAGGGGCGGAGCTAGGATCTAGTGGTCGGGGGGGCCGGACTTTATTGTATAATATTCGTAAAAACATTAAGAAAATATTTACATTGTGAGTCATAAGCTTCAAAATTTAATTATCTAGACTCCAAAATTTAATTATCTAAATTAGAAAAATATTATAAGCTCCAAAATTTCATTATCTAGTTTGAACTTTGAAATTAAAAAGTATTTGAATAAGTACAAAAGTTAAGTGATCAATCTAAATTTTAAACAAAAATTCAACCAAAATAGGAAAACTATAAAAACAATGTTGCTGCCAAGGATTGAACCATGGTACTGGGTATTCACAAATACCAAGTAGCTGCATTCCGTTAGACTAGACCCAAACATTGTTGCTCATTATTGCACGTTATTGTTATTCTACAATAGTTAACTTCTTCAGAATTTTCAAAATTCCCGATATTTTTACACGCGATCTCCAAAATTCTCGGGGGGGCCGGGGCCCCCCCGAGGCACAAGGTAGCTCCGCCCCTGGCTACTCCTATGGAGATTCCTGTGGAGAGCTCCGCGACTACGACTAAGACTACAACTATGGAGATCCTTCCTGGAAGGAGAGCTCCGCGAAGGAGTTACAGAGAAAAAAGATAAAGTTTGACAGATGTGTTTCTGTGTTGATTTCGTTGTCCCCTTCTTTCTCCTTGCTCCACTGTTTTTATTCGAAAAATCGCTTCGTAGTCTTCACGCTAGGTGGAACTGCTTCTCAACTGCTCCGCTGTGAACTCCCACGTGTCTCAACCGCTTCGTTCCTCAAACTGCTTCGCGTGAACTTTACGTGAGTTGTTTTCATAATCCCGCGATGTCGTTTCCTTTCCCAAACAGCTCCGTTTGCTTTTCCTTTTGCGACATTGTTTTTTTATTAAACACTGTCGTTTGCTAGTACAGCGGTGCCCACGGTACCGTTTTTAATTAAACGACACCGCTAACATAGCCAAAAAATTCCAATTCATTGAACCGCGGAATTTAGGCCCTTCACTTACCCGATATGATTTTTTTATTTAATCGGCACCGCTTATCAAGGCCTCCCGCGGCATCGTTTTTAAATTTGCGGTACCGTTTTAATTCTCCGCGGTACCGATTTTCCCTTCCAACCAGGAATAAAAATAATAATTAATTATAAACAAAAAAACTCTTTCCCCGACACTTACACTAAAACGCGTGGCCCCTTTTATTTTCAGTAAACGGTTTCGTTTTCAGTGCCGCGGTACCGCTGAGCTTCCTTGCGGTACCGTTTTAACTCATTCGCGATGCCGCTTGTCGCGGTGCCGTTTTTTAGGCAAACGACATTGTTTCCCAGTCTCGCGATGCCGTTGAGCTGTGAGGTTCGCGACACCGTTTTATCTCTTCGCAGTATTGCTTGACTCCAAACGGTGTTGTTACTCTCCTCCTCCGACAAGGAAAAATAAAATAAAAAACATTCCTTGTCCAACAACAACACATGTCCTGCGCATGACTCACACATGGTCTGCAACCAATGTCGTTTCAAGTACCGCGGTACCGCCGAGCCTCTTCACGGTCTCGGTTAAATTCACCGCGGTATTGCTCAACTCCAAACGACATCATTTTGGCCATGCGATATCGAATTAAATGCCGAGACTCATTATTACG